GTTGAAATGACAGCTGTGCAAGAATGTGGCTACGAACTCCTCCCTCACCCACCCTATTCTCCAGACCTAGCCCCCAGTGACTTCCACCTCTTTCCCAGGCTGAAAAAACACCTCCGGGGCCGAAGATTTGAAGATGACGATGAGCTAGCTGCTGCTGTGGAGGGTTGGTTAGGGGACCAGAATGTTGACTTCTACTGATCGGGCATCAGTGACTGGCAAACTAGGTGGAACAAGTGTTTCGAGTGTGAGTGTGTGTGTGTGTGTGTGGGGGGGGGGGGGGGGGGGGGGGGGTTTGGTTGGTTTGGTTGGTTTGGTTGGTTGGTTTGTTGTTTAACGCCGCACTCAGCAATATTCCAGCTATATGACGGCGGTATGTAAATAATCGAGTCTGGACCAGACAATCCCAGTGATTGATATAATGAAATCCACGCAACTGGGATCGATGACGTGCATCAACTAAGTCAACGACCCAGACCACCCGATCCCGTTAGTCGCCTTTTACCACAAGCATAGTCGCCTTTTACGGCAAGCATGGGTTGCTGAAGACCTTATTCTACCCCGGATCTTCAGGGGTCACATGACAATTTAGGGATTTCCAGAAGTCTGCCTGTCAACCAATGTTGGCCTAAGATGAGGGGAAATTGGGTTTAACGTCGCGTCCAAGATTATTGCACTTATATAGCGATTCTGTTAACTCTTCCGCCTGTTTGACATGTAACTGTTTGTCACATCATGTATAACAGAACAAAACAAAGTTGCTGCAAGACTTGTTTTATTCTCATGACAAGGAATATGCAATACAAAGATGAATAAATGGGAAGAAACGATAACACTCAAATAGTCATCCATCAATTAAATAGTTTCTAAAAACATAAAGTAACAATCGATTTGGTAATGCTGCAAAACAATATTTGTACATTCACAATGTGTTCATCATGTACAAGCATCTACCTTCAATTCAAATTTAGAATTTCAACTGTACACAGTGGTCAAACCGGTTTCTACGTTCGTACCTCAATGAACGTAAACATCTTTTAAAGTCAGTTCTTAAGTAAACCGAATGTGGCATATACGACATAGCTTTTAGTGACAATCCACCGGGTACAGACCGATTATGTGAACATGTAATCATAAACTCTGTTGTTGGTATTACAACTTATTTCCGAAGATCCGTGGTATAAAAGGTCTTCAGCAACCCATTCTTGCCAAAAAAAGGCGACTACACTTGTTGTAAGAGTCGACAGTCGGGACGGGTGGTCAGGCTCGCTGGCTTGGTTGATGAGTGAGTGAGTTGGGTTTAACGCCGCTTTTAAAATTATTCCAGTTATATCGCGGCGTGTCAGCTTGATGTGGGAGGAAAGCCCGAAGTGATGCAGGTCTCTGACGTTTACCACTTCGGTGAAACCAACGAGCACGGATATGGTGCTGACAAACCTTGAAACAAAATAGGGGCGAAATGGGATTCGAACCCACAATCATAGGTTTCTGGCGTACCCAAGGGACGCAACTCTGCACAGCGAATCGCGGCGCCTTAGACGACTGGGCCACCCGTGCCCCCTTTACAACATTCAAGGCCTAACCTAAGCTTGCAAATGCTGTTGATGAATGTCATCGTATTCCAATTGTGTGGATTGATGCTCATGATGTCAATCACTGGATAGTCTCGTCCAGACTCGATTATTTTCAGAAGGCGGTCATACAGCTGGAATATTGCTGAGTGCGGCGTTAAACAACAAACAAATATTTTTCAGCTATATAATGGTGGAGTGTAAATACTTGATGCCTACTTGGGCATCTCAAATTTTCTGCATAACATCCCCATTTTTATTGCTGGCCTATAAATAAGAAGTGGAGTAGTTTGTCATAGCTGCTACCTTAGCTTCAGCATCGACGTTTGAGTTACTTTTGGTGGCATCATGGATGGGCGTCGCATCGGTCAGTTGAAATATCGTTGTGTAGTTTCAAAATATCTGGAAACAATACACGACTCGAGAATGCGCTTTAAAATGCCTGAAGTCGATACAAATAATATGTAAAGATTATAAAATGTTCATATTTGTTGCTATGTTTTGTATATATTAGCTTCGAATTTTGAGTTACTATCTGGGATACTGGAATGACATAAATGGAAGAAATATTTTTGCATCCAATGACAGTGACTCTGGCATCTTTGACACTTTCCTTGACAAGTGAAATTGAGAATCATACTTGGCATGTGACTTGACATATTCGTCTTTGTGTCTGACGTATGACGAGATGAAGCTATGGTCATCGCGTGTCAGCGATCAGTGCGTTGATGCTTGCCCGACGTCTATTACTTAAAAATTAGCATTAGATTTACATATGCCAAAAGCTAATATCCCTTGCCATTGTGGTTCCTTGATAAGCATAGTTTTCAAAGACCGTTTAATTGCTTGCTTGAAGCGTAATCTTTTGTGATGTATGAGAAAGAAAGTGTTAAATGGTGTAAAGCGGACAGTGCCCATTAAGCAGACGATTATGCATCAAATAATGAAAAAACAACCTATGTCCATAATGATAACCGACCCGTGAAGATTCCGGGGTAGAATAGGTCTTCAGCAACCCATACTTGCCGTGAAAGGCGACCATGCTTGTCGTAAAAGGCGACTAACGGGATCGGGTGGTCAGGCTCGCTGACTTGGTTGATGAATCGTATCCCGATTGCGTGGATCGATACTCATGATGTCAATCACTGGCTTGTTTGGTCCAGACCTGATTATTTACATACCGCCGTCATATAGGTGGAATATTGCTGAGTGCGGCGTTAAACAACAACAACAAAAAAACATAATGATAACCGCCCATTGAACGAACCCAACTACTTCACGAGTATGTGTTTGTGACACACTATCAAATAATGATGATACCGGGTGTTCGCGAAAAGGGGAGCGAATCCTGTCCCACAGGTGGTACACGAAAATGACTGACTTTCTCGCATTATTTGAAAGTATCAAACTCCGAAATGCATACCGATGTACCTGTACCCGATCCTAGTGCAGTCGATGTGTGCATGTAGGTGTTAAGTGATCACCATACAATATGTGGTGATATTTCTTGTGTTATGAGGCAGTATATAGTGCAAGTATATTTCTGGGGATTTAGTGGCAGCTAATTGAAGCGCTCGTACAATATCAAGCCCTGTTGCTTCCAGATGTTTTTGCAACAATCTTGTTTTGCAATTTATGCGGCAATCACATCACTTGAGAGTTATCCGCCTTTGTAGATTGACACTGGGTGTGTAATAGGCCTGATATATATTGCTGTTGCTGCTGCATGATCGACAATTTCAAATATAAACCTAACCGTCTGTGTGTCAATATAAATTTGTTAATTATTCATTGATCTTGTGTGGTTATTAAATAAGTTAGTTCTCGACGAACCGCGATTTGTCAAGGAATATTATAGAAAACTTTGTGTATTTTCAGAACAGTTCAGGGCTACTTCATATTCCCTCATCAGGTGAGATAACAAACATGTTGTTATCCACGATATCCAGAAAATTCTAGCTTCAATATATCGGCCGATCTTCAGTAAATGCCAAATTCCGTTGGTACACCATTTCCGTCAACAAGCACTGAAAATATACATGGTACACATTCAGTAAAATATTTGCGATGTAATAATTGCACTGGAAATGGATTTTTACAATTCACTCATGTTAAGGTTCAATCGCTGACATTGGGACTTTTATAAAGTGACTTATTATGCCAGACCCAGAGCCATAATAAAGTTTGAAAACCATAGTGAGTGAGTTGGGTTTAACCCCGCATTTAACAGTATTCCATGTGATTAATGTGGGAGGAAAGCCCGAAGTGATACAGGTCTCAGACATTTACCATTTCGGTGAAACCCACTAGCACGGGCATGATGCTGACAAACCTAGAAACATAATCGGCGCGAACCGGGATTCAAACCTAAAATCATAGGCTTCTGGCGTAACAAAGGGAAGCAACTCTGCACAGCGAATTGCGACGCCTTTGATAACTGGGCCACCAGTACAGAACAAATAGTGATGTGGTAACTGAACTTCTGTACCCTGCTTTGTAAAACACACAAAGTACATACTACTTTGGACCCCTGAAGATCCCCTGTTTGTCATAAAAGGCGACTATGCTTGACGTGAGAGGCAGCTGACGGGATCGGGTGGTCAGTTTTGCTGACTTGGTTGTTTCATCGTATCCCGATTGCGTGGATTTATACTCATGATGTCAATCATTGGATTGTTTGTTACAGACCTGATTATTTACAGACCGCCGTCATATAGCTGGAATATTGCTGAGTATGGCGTTAAACAACAAACGAACAAACATATTACTGATTCAGATACCTTACATTGTTACACATTTTCGAAGTGTACGCACTAAAGAGGTCAAAGTTTGGGAAGGGTTTCCTTTTGTTTTGCTTTGGCATATGACTAATTTATTTCATCACAATTACCTCATACCTCATAACCAGTTTGGACATAATTTGTGTTTGATCAGCAGAACTATAGCATCATGTAACATGTTTATCAGAAAATGACACCATTCTGAAATGAGGTGAAGGTGAAGTGAAATTGGGTTTAACGTCGCGTCCAAGAATCTTGCACTTATTTAGCAACGTGCATGCACGTGTGTGTGTGTGGCTGCTTGTTCTAGTCCGGACTGATGCCGATTTATAGTGCTAGCTCACTGAGATACCATGCCGCAGTTTAACATGAATACCCCACTCAGACACAGCATCCTGACTCCGAGCCGACCAGTCCTTGTTTGAGCCCCTTAATGCCGAGCGCCAGACAGGGTAACAAGAAGTACCATCTTTAAACGTCTGAGTGGGTAATTCATGTTAAACTGCGGCATGGTATCTCAGTGAGCTAGCACTATAAATCGGCATCAGTCCAGACTAGTACAAGCAGCCACACACACACACACACGTGCATGCACGTCGCTATATAAGTGCAATAATCTTGGACGCGACGTTAAACCCAATTTCCCCTCACCTCACCTATAACACTTGCTGCTGTTTACACGCGACCTGGTTATGGAGTACTCACGGTCGTTGTGGTTGTAGAAGAGGCGGAGACCCTGGGCGGGAACACAGCCACCACACCATCCTCCACACAGTAGGTCGATCACAGCGCCCCCTTCCGAGCGCGTCACACTGACGTAGGGATGCCAGTCGGACCCTTTCCAATTTTCCTGTGGTATAAATAATTCAAATGATATGAGTTTCAAAAACAAGTGATGGCACGAGAATTCAGGTTAGTTAAGGGATATTGGGACCTACTCTATCCCAGGATGCCCACATGGTATGCTGGAGCCATATAAAGGATCAATTTCTTCACAGCATCATTAAGAATCAAAGCGACAAAACCGTTTCCATATTCATAAGAAATCTCTTCTAAGATCAGAGTCAATTACACGATTACTACTATATCATGAGCATGTATGTGGAAACTATATGGTACTAGTCAAAATAGGTATAGCATCGGAGTGTTTTGTCACTGATGCGTCCAATTTGGAAATATCCTCCACATGTCTACATAAACCGCTTGCAAGCTTTACTGAGGCCTTGAATGTTGTAAAGGGGGCACGGGTGGCCCAGTCGTCTGAGGCGCCGAGATTCGCTGTGCAGAGTTGCGTCCCTTGGGTACGCCAGAAACCTATGATTGTGGGTTCGAATCCAGGTTCGCCCCAATTATGTTTCTAGGTTTGTCAGCACCATACCCGTGCTCGTGGGTTTCACCGAAGTGGTAAACGTCGGAGACCTGCATTACTTCGGGCTTTCCTCCCACATTAAGCTGACACGCCGCGATATAACTGGAATACTGTTAAAAGCGGCGTTAAACCCAACTCACTCACTCACTCACTGAATGTTGTAAAACTGATCAAACAACATTTTCAGCAGTCGTATGACACTTTTTGAAATCTTTATAGAAAGGGCATGCTTGATTGTATATCCCACAGCTTACAATTGGGTATTGGGGACTATTCCGTTCTGAAATAACCAGGGCTCTCAACAATACGTCAATTGCTAGATTTAAGCTCACATTGAGGTCGACGACCAAGCCACTCCCTCGCGTGTCCACTCTGAACGTCCCGACAGGCCCACAAGGAGCCGAACCGTAGTAGTTGTTGTAGCAGTCCATGGCTTTTGCGTAACTATGACGGTTTTCTTCCCATGTTGCGAAGGTGAAGTCGTCTAGAACCACCGTCATTGTCTGGGGAAAATAATGTACTGGCTACGAAATGTAGTATTCTAACATCCTTGTGTTTGTACAAAGATGGTGTTAAATGAAGCTAATGGGTCCTGATGTCTGACAACGGTTGTAAATAATAACTTGTTAACTTGATAAGAAATACTAATAACTAGAGTGAGTTAGTGGGTGAGTGAGTGAGTGCAGGCCATTGTGACATCATTGGTTGCCATGGCGTCACAATCAATTAACATGACTAATCGCTCTGCCACTGAAGGGGCGGTCGGGTAGCCTTGTGGTTAAAGCGTTCACTCGTCACGCCGTAGACCCGGGTTCGATCCCCGACATGGGTACAATGTGTGAAGCCCATTTCTGGTGTCCCCCGCCGTGATATTGCTGGAATATTGCTAAAAGCGGCGTAAACCCATACTCACTCACTCACTCTGCCACTGAAGCTGGGTAGCTGTACTCAGCACTCATGACACTGGTGTTTACTGTTAAGCTGAAAACGTTGGCAGAATGATTTGGGATGATAAACAGAATCTAACCATTGCCTTTTGATATTAATTATATCGATTCGATTTGATATCATTGATATCAAAAGGCACTTGGATGAGAGTCTCTTCGAACGCTAGGTGAGTCATGTGATAGCATGAGCAAGGATCCAAGCCCTAAGTGATCAGTAGAGGTTATCAAGCGAGTTTGTTTGTTTGTTGTTTAACACCGCACTCAGCAATATTCCAGCTATATGACGGCTTGGCTACAAGTAAATAACCTGTATTAGAAATAAACATTGTATTTAGGGAGCCTTGGCGAGCTCAACACAAAGTGTTTATTCCTAATACGGGATATTTACCATCACCAAATACACAAGCGTGATAACCTCTTTATCATATAATGTCATTCTTCATTTCTGTGCTCGAAAATCTCTTACATCTCTTACAAACATTACCTAAACATTGCAGGTTTTGCTGGAATGTGCGCATTAATATATATTACGTCAGAGGGTAAGTGATGTGTCAGTCGGACAGTGACAGTGGCCAATAAAGTTTCAACTAAAATCTGTTTCTTATACAGTGGCGTAACTACATATATTTAAAACAACAATTGCCTACACAATTTGTTTTTGGCGGCAATCATTCGCTGTGTCCGATGCTACTCTCACCCTAGTCTGTGAGACGGCACGGCCAGTCAGACGTTGTTGACAGTCTGTCCTGTCATAACGTTATGAAGTGAAGTCAGATGTACACACAGCCACAAAACTAAACAAGGTAACAATTCAAACATATTTCGGCTAAAATCCAACTGTTTCAATTTAAGATTGCGTTAAACCCAACTCACTCACCACTAGTTCGTGGGAAAACCACTGACGTCAACAAGCACAGATATGGAAACTGATCCCGCTTGGCTAGTGCCCTCGCAAAATTGTTTCGCAATTCATATCTCCAAAGTTGCCAAAACTTGTAAAATGCTTCATCTACGTCACAGTTAGACACTGATATTCGGTATATTAGACTGTTCTTTGGATACTGAGAGGAATTATCCCAGTGGTTTCTCAAGATTCTCGAGGGTTCATTCTGACTCGATCGCCGAATGACAAGTGCGACGCCATGTTTGTTTATAAACACTGAAAGTAGTCCCTACTTGACCTGGACCGCCTCCGTGGTCTAGTGGTAGAGCGTCCGCCCGGAGAGCGGAAGGTCCGGGGTTCGATCCCCGACCGCGTCATACCAAAAGACGTTAAAAGGTGGTACTTGTTGTTACCCTGTCTGGCGCTCGGCATTAAGGGGCTAAAACAAGGACTGGTCGGCTCGGAGTCAGTATACTGTGTCTGAGTGGGGTATTCATGTTAAACTGCGGCATGGTATCTCAGTGAGCTAGCACTATAAATCGGCATCAGTCCGGACTAGTACAAGCAGCCACACAAACACATGTGCAAGCACGTCGCTATATAAGTGCAATAATCTTGGACGCGACGTTAAAACCCATTTCACCTCACCTCACGTCACCCTACTTGACCTTTGATATTTGCAGCTCTATCCACATATTACCTCAACGAATATCGTTTTGGCTTTACTGCCAAGAAACCAACATTATTAGCCAGGTCGGACATAATGACCTTTCGATCGTTGCTCTGACCCGGAGATATCTTGGGCTCTGAACAACATCTGTGAACAACACCTGTGAACAACACCTGTGAACAACACCTGTGAACAACATCTGTGAACAACACCTGTGAACAACATCTGTGAACAACACCTGTGAACAACACCTGTGAACAACATCTGTGAACAACACCTGTGAACAACACCTGTGAACAACATCTGTGAACAACATGTATAAAAAAGCACCATGAACATTGCTTACCTCTGGTCTTATGCGGATTTTGTAGAATCGTGTTATTCCAGGTTTCCCAATTTCTGAAATACTATTGCTTTCCCCTCTGCACCCGGGGTTCTGTTTGCGTGGGTATACACCGACATTGACAGTGGCTAGGGACACGTACTCGGTCGGGGTGGTGGTGTTCATGCCGCGGCAGTAGACTCTGGCTCTGTTGTTGTACATGGTGGAGGACCTAGGGTACAGCCAGTACTCCCCGTCGGAGGTCTCGGTCAGCTGAGCCTTAGCTTCCGAACATGTGGATGGGTAGTCGACCACTGCAGAATGACACAATAAGCAGGATTTACAGGTCTCTCACCTTTTCCTAAACACTGACAATCTACACGTTCTGTGTAAGTGCTTTTTTAGTGACTCATTCCCAAGCTGGTGTCATTCATAAAAGTTGTACTTTTTGAGATGTTGAACATGCAGTGACACTAGAAAATGGGGCTATATGAATCAAAAGTCGTGCTTGGTCAAAAATGAAAATATGCAGCAAAATACGTGTGATATGTTATGCACCATGTCACATACTTCCTGTATGTAGAAAACAATAACATTGCATGTAGAAATGGCTAGAAATGTACTTGGAAAAACAAGGTCCAAAGTCGGATCTAAACTCTGCGAGCAGCCTTTTGAAGACGCCATAGCTGGGATCAATCGTAGCAAATTTCAACTCCTTTGGCCTTGTAGTACCAGAGGAAATGTCAAAATGTTTAATGTAACGACGGACAACGCGCCATGACTTGACTATCAGTCAGGCGAGTTAAAAATGAAACCCCTCAGTGAAATCACCATCGCTGCTGGTACTGGTACCTTCTACAATTGTCCACAGGGTGCAGGAAATCGATGACTCAAGAGGCGTTCAGCTCATCCCTTATGTCACTTTCATCAACCATGGATTTCACGCCACATCGATCGCGAATATAGAATGCACTTTGATTCCCCTTGGGCTCCTCTCTGATCGAGACCGCCTACGTGGTCTTGTGGTAGAGCGTCCGCCCGGAGAGCGGAAGCTCCAGGGTTCGATCCCGGGCCGCGTCATACAAAAAGACGTTAAAAGATTGTACTTGTTGTTACCCTGTCTGGCGCTCGGCATTAAGGGGCTAAAACAAGGACTGGTCGGCTCGGAGTCAGTGTACTGTGTCTGAGTGGGGTATTCATGTTAAACTGCGGCATGGTATCTCAGTGAGCTAGCACTATAAATCGGCATCAGTCCGGACTAGTACAAGCAGCCACACACACACATACACGTGCATGCACGTCGCTATATAAGTGCAATAATCTTGGACGCGACGTTAAACCCAATTTCACCTCACCTCACCTATCTGATCGAAACGACCCACCTGTACGATTGCAGTATAACATACAATATGGTGATGTCAATGCATGCTAAAATATCCAAAACGTCGAATATCCGTGTGCCTTGCATGTGGTAATATGGTACTTGGGTATATCATCACACCATACAAGAGAATGTTACATTCGTTCAAAAAGATATTTTTAAAATGATCAAGAAACAAACAAAAACATAAACTATATGTGATGCCAGTTTTACATTGTCTTTGTGTCTCTGTCTTGAAACGGGGGCACGGGTGGCCCAGTCGTCTAAGGCGCCGCGATTCGCTGTGCAGAGTTGCGGACCTTGAGCACGCCAGAAACCTATGATTGTGGGTTCGAATCCCGTTTCGCCCCAATTACGTTTCAAGGTTTGTCAGCACCATACCCATGCTCGTGGGTTTCACCAAAGCGGTAAACGTCTTAGACCTGCATCACTTCGGGCTTTCCTCCCACATTAAGCTGACACGCCGTGATATAACTGGAATAATTTTAAAAGCGGCGTTAAACCCAACTCACTCACTCACTTTGTCTTGAAACAGAGTTTTTTATGGTAGTGCCTCTTTATGTTTCCGTCACCGTGTATCGTACGGCAAAAGAAAAAGCGACTTTACAGTTGCTGTGAGTATGACACAAGTAAGTTAATTTTATTTCTGTTTCCAAGTCAGCATCAATGAATTAACATGACAATTGTTGCAATGTACAACACATACATGTCCTCAGTACATTCTAAGTCTGATATGTCTTCTAAGGCGGTTTTATATGTCTAAATATGTTTTACCAATCGTTTCACAAAACTAAACGACCCGTGAAGATTCCGGGGTAGAATAGGTCTTCAGCAACCCAGGCTTGCCGTAAAAGGTGACTATGCTTGTCGTAAAAGGCGACTAACGGGATCGGGTGGTCAGGCTCGCTGACTTGGTTGATGCATGTCATCGATCCCAATTGCGTGGATCGATGCTCATGATATTAATCACTGGATTGTCTGGTCCAGACTCCATTATTTACAGACCGTTTACTGACGGGTGATGGAAGAGCGTAGTGTATACAAACCTGTGACGTACTGACGATGTACGGAGACATTTTCATTAGTATTTTAGTAAAAGTAGAGAACTATACCTTTGCCGGTCAGCGTGAATAGACTGAATCCAGGGGCATACGTCGTGACATCAGTGCTCTCTCCATCGAGAAGTGCAAACCCATTCGTAATACACGTCACATTCTCACGTTCAAAGTATGCAGACAAACAGAACTGACCATCTAAGCATGTTCTCGAACAATGTAATATGTCCAGGCCTTTCCAAACATGAAGACGTCGATAGTCTGACACGGTGTCCCTACACTGTAGCTGTTCTTTAAACATGTACACCTTGACCCCCACGGCCCTGCTCAACACCGGCAATAGTAACACCGATCCTACAACATCCATACCGTAGCGTGGAATACTCGTGTCTGAGTATGTGTGTCTTAGTTACCGAGAACCGATGTTATCATATTGATCTGTTGATCGAGACAATATCAACTTTTACAAGTATTGAATACATTATTCAAACATGGCTCAGTAAAGCTGTGGTATAAAATTTCCTTTTGTCAGGGTGCCCGTGTTTTCTAAAAATTATTTTCCTGGCAACTGGGAATATTAGCAGGTTTCGTCTTCCTGAGACTGTACCTCCTGAGGTTTCTACCTGCTTTTAACTATTCCGACGTACACGATCCCCTGTTGTGCTGAGTATTCAGAAATAACAGACACCCTATCAATTTAGCTAATGTAGAATTTAAGTTGTTTAAGCAGGTTCTACAAGGTGTATTGTTTTCACCTGAGTTGTTCCTTGAGGACTGTGACGCGTGTCACCAGTATCGCTTGCCAAAGCGTGTCAGATCACTCTAATGTCATCATCGTCAGTCGCGTAATATGTCACAAGATATTTTAGTCAGTATCAATGCAAGGAGATGTATCATACATCTTTTTCGCGTGATTAGAATTTTGCAAGGGAAAGCAAGTATCGATGCACAGATTTCTTTAGACTTACATTAATCTATTTTCTGGCTCGGTATAGACGGAGACGGAGAAAACGACCGCCGTCAAAAACGCCTAATAAGTCGAAAAAACGGACAAAGGGGCTAGTGAAACAAGGGTCAGAGAAAACTGCCAATTCAGATTAAATGATTTTCGGAATTATAATGTAATTAACGAAAGTCATCCACACTTTGCACATGTAAATTTTGTTTGATGCAATCAATTTCACTTGACGTCATGGACACACGAAGGCACTGGGTTGATTGCTTTTATTGTAAAATTGGATTACTGAGGGATGAGAGAATACGATAATAAAGTATAGAAGCCGTCCGGGGACGTTTAGCCTTATTTTAATGGTTGTTTTTTGTACAAATAATTCCAGGGGTGACTTAAAGATGCCTGCTGAAATGTACTTCCAGTCTCTCTGAAACTCGAACATGGGAGTTGTATGGGAGTGCTCTACAAAGATAAACTGACGGCTAAACTGTCAACGATATTAAGCAGAAAATCACAGACTAAAACGCACATTGTCAGTCATGCTGCGTTGTGATATATACACTAAACTACGGTTATAACGAACACGCTTATAACGAACTGGTGGATATAACGAACTGGTTTTTAGGTCCCTGCCGTTTGCTGTATCTCTGCTGTATATATGCTTGTAACGAATTACGGTTATGACGAACTAGAATTTGTGGTCCCTTTGAGTTCGCTATATCCGTAGTTTACTGTACTCCTGAAAATACCACCCATTTATGTTTATATGTAATTCCAAGATATCTTCTGTTTGTTTGGTTGTTGTTTAACGCAACACTCAGCAATATAACAGCTATATGATGGCGGTCTGTAAATAATCGAGTCTGGACCAGACAATCCAGTGATTGACAACATGAGCATCGATCCACGCCATTGGAATCGATGACATGCATCAACCAAGTCGGCGAGCCTCACCACCCAATCCAGTTAGTCGCCTCTTTCGACAAGCATTGTCGCCTTTTACGGCAAGCATAGGTTGCTGAAGACCTATTCTACCCCGGATCCTCAACTGAAGAGACCATGATATGGTGGCATACATTTGTCTGAAAACGTACACATGTAATACTATTGCTTTTAAAAATGTGTGTTTAGGTAACACACGTATATGAATTGACCACAATTATTCGCATATTCGCATATTTGTATATGATGTAAGGCATAAGCGTACGCTTCTCGGTCGAAAGTCACAAATCAACTCAGTAGCTTGTGGTTATACAATTTTACTCAATCCAAGTAGCCATATACAGAAAGCACAATGTGCCAGGTCAGCACATTATTGTTGAAGTGTTGATGACCCTGAGCACCGACCTAACCATAGCAGGGTGACGAAGGTTTCTTGCTTTCTGTCTCTATCGTTTCTTCTCTGAAATGAGCTTTCGTACCCAAAGTCGTATGAGGTGAGGTCAGGTGAAATGGGGTGTAAAGTCGTGTCCAAGATTATCGCACTTATATAGCTGCGTCCATTCGCGTGTGTGTGTGTGTACTAGTCGGGGCTGATGCCGATTTATAGTGCTAGCTCACTGAGATACCATGCCGTAGTTTAACATGAATACCCCACTCAGACACAGCATCCTGACTCCCAGCCGACCAGTCCTTGTTTTAACCCCTTAATGCCGAGCGCCAGACAGGGTAACAACAAGTACCATCTCTTAACGTCTTTTGGTATGACGCCGTCGAGGATCGAACCCCGGACCTGCCGCTCTCCGGGCGGACGCTCTACCACTAGACCACGGAGGCGGTCGTATGATGGGGGTGAACAAAAATAAAAGGCATATTGAAGAATGACAGCTGCACAGCTCTTTTGGGTTACTCACAGTAAATATACAAAACAACGTGGGTTAGGAGCAACAATGATCATCTGGGTTGCTAGGCAGTGTTAGAATTTGAATTTGAATTTAATATTTAAATTACAAGATATATTTATAAAGCCTTCAGATACGAAGTCCATCTTCAGCCAACAAAGACACCTGGACACTTCAGGCAACCAAATAAAAATATTATAAGAGTAATTTCCTTGTAAAAATCCACACATGATCATATGAAATATGATTAGGTTGCGTTTGAGTGTACTATGGTTTAAAAGAGTGCACTGAAATGTCCGGAGTTTACCCAAAGGCCATGTCAAGATGTTATCTATTGCTCAACGGCCACATGCTGTCTTCCATGTGCTAGTCCACCGTGACCTTATTAGGATAAACAGAAGAACCGTAGTTTTGCCCTGCTATCAGTCCTTGCAGACGAACGGTAAGTAGAAAACCACCGTACATTTGACAAATATGTAGTCGAGAAATATATCCTATGTAAATGTCATTCAATGTAAATTACAAAGAACTATATACATATTGGTTTAATTTTTAAAAAGGCACGATCATGATCGTAGTAGTAATGTGTGTTGTGGATCCCATTGTGGCAAGAATACATCATTTAACTTCGTATTCACACTTACACTGGCCTATGCTATTGGTGATCCTGTCAGGCAGGTTTTTATTGTCTACCCCCCCCCCCCCCCCCCCCCCCCCCCCCCCCCCCATACACTCACTCACTCACTCACACCCACCCATACTCTCTCTCACTCACTCTCTTACTCCGGTAACCGAGTAAGACCCAGTATAACCCAATATTACGTGTGGGGTATCCATGTTAAACCGAGTTTATCTACTGAATCGCCAAAGAGACGTCATCATGGATAGACATATGAGACACCTTATTTGTCCAAACACTGTAAACATACTTTGATACATATTAAAAAGATGAAACTTGGCAAAACTGATCATCAAGGTTGAAATTTAAGTGTCAAATGATCTTAAAGTGAGACCCAACACTAGTCTCTGAGAAAATGGCATCACAAGTCAGTATCTCGTGTGTCTGCCATGTGCATTGATGACTGCCGTGCAACGTCGATACATGGAATGGATGAGGCGGTTGATGAAGGCCATAGGCACTTGAGCCCACACTCTGAGGAACGCCTGACGCAGTTCAGCTGCAGTTGTCGGCCTTGGTCGGGCGTCATTCAGCCGTCTTTGAATCTCGTCCCACAGGTGCTTTATGGGATTTAAATCGGGACTGAGGGCAGACCACAGCATGGTTCTGATGCCATTCTGCTGGAGGAAGTCTCTTGTTGCTCTCGCAGTGTGGGCACGGGCGTTATCATGCTGAAACTCGTGGTTGCGGCGACGTGCCAAATGAGGTATGGTGTGTGGTCTCAAGACTTGATCAGTGTACCGAGCTGATGTGACACCATTGCCTCTACCTGAACCGATGTTCTGGAAGACCACAGGGCCGACCCTCTGTGCAAGACCAATTCATCCCCACACCATGATGCTCGGACCAGCCAACGAGTCTCTCTAATAAACACAAGCCTTCGAATAATGTTTTCACGGCGTCGCCAGACTCTCTCTCTCTCTCTCTCTCTCTCTCTCTCTCTCTCTCTCTCTCTCTCTCTCTCTCTCTCTCTCTCTCTCTCTCTCTCTCTCTCTCTCTCTCTCTGCCATCTGCTGTTGAGATACATTAACGGCTCTCGTCTGAGAAGAGGACTCTTCTCCAGTGCTGGTGGCAACAATGCTGGTGCTGTGTTGCCCACTGAAGACGGTCCCGGCGATGACGTGGTGTCAGGATGGGTCCTCAGTGTGGCCTGTGACAGTGGAAGTGTCTGCTCGTCAATCGTCGACGCAAGGTGTCCGCACTAATGTGTCGCTGGTGTGTCCCCATGGTCTGTCGAGCAGTTTCCGCAGCAGTAAAAAAGCGATCTTGAAGATGCTGTCGCACAATCTGATGATCCTGACGTCGGGTCGTGATCCTTGGTCTTCCACTGTGTGGTCCGTCATCTGTAGTGTACCGGTACCGTTGCTGCAGCCTGTATATGGTCCTTACGTAAACTTGAAATGCATTGGCTACTTGCCGGGCGGTTTGTCCAGCTTGACAATCGTCCAAGGGCTGGGTGTCTCTGATTTCTTGTCAATCTTGGCACGTGGTAGCAATTCGATAACGATGATTGTTATCCGATCTGGGTGGATTTTCGAAGGGCAATAAATGGGGGAACGCATGTGCATTTCAATTTGCACGGATCTCACGTGCATTGATCTTACCATGGCCGTTGCCGTGATGCGTTTGGGCGATCGGTTTTGTCATCTGCTTTGTTTTTTATCATCAAATTTCATTTTTCCGTACTAGGTAATGTTAACTTTTAGAAGCGTTGACAAAAATTACCCAGATATTTAAATGACAACTTTTCATGCAGTGTTACTTGGGGTGACGTTTCTTTTGCGGTTCAGTATATTTTATCCTTTCTTTCAGTGTCCAGCCATGACAAGACTCCTTTGCGTCGTCCTCGCTGTTGTAGTTGCTGTCAATGGTAATGGTATTATCATTATTGCTATTATCGTTATTTATCGGAACCTTATTTAAAACAACACTTGAGAATCACGTGTATTTGTGATGTTATACATGTCATTCGTGATGCACTTCAAAACATACCGAGGACACGGGTGGCCCAGTCGTCAAAGGCGTGTGATTCGCTGTGCAGAGTTGCGTCCCTTCGGCACTCCAGAAACCTATGATTGTGGGTTCGAATTCCGGTTCGACCCGATTATGTTTCTAGGTTTGTCAGCACCATATCCGTGCTCGTGGGTTTCACCGAAGTGGTAAACGTCTGAGACCTGCATCACTTCGGGCTTTCCTCCCACATTAAGCTGACACGCCGCGATATAACTGGAATACTGTTAAAAGCGGCGTTAAACCAAACTCACTCACTCACCATGCAGGAAGCAAAAGTACTGTAAGTCTCCATGGTCCCAAGTATGGTGATCTCCCTTCAATTGCTGGTGATCTATATCCCGTTTTTATAATAGATTGTTATGTAGTTTTAAATCTGTTTTCTGTGATACGTCAAGTTATTTTACTGACCTTCGTTGGCAGGTTTTTATATAAGTCTCAATGTATTTATTATGTATAACCCTTGATAGTCACGATATGTCTGAAATATTTGTCGATGTGACTTAAATATTTACTCACTCACTCACTCACTCATAACCTTTTTATTGGTAGGTGAGTGAGTAAGGTTTAACACCTCCCTGAACACTATTAACCCGCAATACAGTTTGATGTGAAAGGAAAGCCTAATCTGATGCAGGTCTCAGACATTTACCACTTCGGTGAAACCCACGAGCACGGGTGTGGTGCTGACAAACCTAGAAACATAATCGGGGCGAACCAGGACTGGAACTAACCATCAAACATTTCTGTCGCGGAACTCAATCCTGTGCCGTAGACGACTGAGACGCCCGTGTCCCCTGAATATTGAAGACAAATTTCAGAACTAACATAACACATTTATTTCCTGTGTACAAGGTCAGAACGGGAACGATTTAAGCCGCTGCCCATCCAATCTCAAGCGTAACCAGTATCTCTACAGCCATGGAGAATACTGTTACGAGTTTGCGATCGCTGAACACCGCTACTGGAAAGGCGCAAGAGACTACTGTGTGGCCGACGGCGGGCATCTTGTGAAGATTGATAACATGGACAAGGAGTTGTTCCTCGTTAGCACCCTCTTACACTTGGACTTCCATGACAAGGCGATATGGATAGGCCTGAATGATATACAGCAGGAAGGAGTGTACACTTGGACGAATGGTAAGATCAATGATGGCACGTGGACCTTTACAAAGGTCACACTTAAGGTAAAGTTAGACCCGTGAAGATTCCGGGGTAGACTAGGTCTTCAGCAACCCATACTTGCCGTAAAAGGCGACTATGCTTGTCGTAAAAGGCGACTAACGGGATCGGGTGGTCAGGCTCGCTGACTTGGTTAATGCATGTCATCGATCCCAATTGCGTGGATGGATGCTCATGATGTCAATCACTGGATTGTCTGGTCCAGACTTGATTATTTACAGACCGCCGTCATATAGCTGGACTATTGCTGAGTGCGGCGTTAAACAACAAACCAACCAACTAAGGTAAAGTTAAGCAATAACCTGTTAAATGTGGTGTCTTCTTAGGGAAGTAAAGATCCGGGGTAGAATAGGTCTTCAGCAACCCATGCTTGCCGTAAAAGGCGACTAACGGGATCGGGTGGTTAGGCTCGCTGATTTGGTTAATGCATGTCATCGATCCCAATTGCGTGGATTGATGCTCATGACGTGGACCTTTACAAAGGTCACACTTAAGGTAAAGTTAGACCCGTGAAGATTCCGGGGTAGAATAGGTCTTCAGCAACCCATAATTGCCGTAAAAGGCGACTATGCTTGTCGTAAGGGCGAATAACGGGATCGGGTGGTCAGGCTCGCTGATTTGGTTAATGCATGTTATCGATCCCAATTGCGTGGATCGATGCTAATGATATCAATCACTGGATTGTCTGGTCCAGACTTGATTATTTACAGACCGCCGTCATCTTGCGTGAATATTGTTGAGTGTGGCGTTAAACAACAAACAAACACGGACAAACTTCCTCGGGAAGAGTCCATGTTCGAAACATGCCTGTATTCACGTGCATTGAATGGGTACCCGGTAGGATGAGATGGAAATGTAACTGTTTTACGACAGTTAGGGTTGTACATTCCCCTGGGGATGAGAATGAACTGTGAGTAATAATAGTTGAGTGCAATGAGCATTCACTTGGTGAATGGAATCTGGCGCATTGTGAATGGGCTCATTATCATAATGCTGTTGAATGCGTAATAGTGACAATAAGAGTGAAATCGCGAGTGTGATAACCTTTCTGTATTGTACACGTGCATCTGAGCGATGCTGTGTTGATTGTTCAGATGAAGTAATATGACGTCACAACGCTCCCTTGTTGAGGGCAATGCGCTATGACGCCATGCATTGCTCATTACATCACTAATTGATAACATTACGTCATTTGAACAATAGGTTGACGTCAATGAGGTTTCTTTCTAGGGTTGACATTTCGTATGTTTTTCATTTTCTATCTTAAAAAGACAATTGGTAATTTATCATTTAACTTAAGCATTTATCCATGACATAAGCTTATGACATAAAAACATGTATGTCATACCCCAATGACATAAGTATGCAAATTAGATATGCAAATTAGATAACCGGAAGAGCGAGCGGTTTGATTTGAAACTATATATTATAAGTGAAGTTACACCAGAGATATAATCAGATTACACAGAATCGTTGTTGTTACCGTTATTAAAGTTTCAATTATTCTGCAAAAGTCTGTTCAAGTATTTTGTTTAAAATAATCCGAGGAACTTTTTTTTACAGCGAATTGTTTATTTTGGTTTACATGGCTATGGAAAACATGTATCACTACGCACGATCTATACGTAAGATTTCGACAGGTTGCTGATGTTAATGTTTAATGCAATTATTCCTTAATTTGGAAGCAAAAATGTGAAAATGATAAATAGAATTCATCACTCGTGTTTTTTAATATGGGAAATATCAACCTCGTCCCGTTAATCGGTAACGGCTCGCCAAAGGCTCGGCAAATACCGATTAACTAAGACTCGGTTGATATTTCCCATATTAAAAAACACTCGTGATGAATCCTCTATATATTCCCAAGAGAATTGGTCAAAAATATTTACGTTATAAAACATATGACATGGAACGAGCAATGCCTGAACGTACGGAAACTAGCAACAGTCCGTATGAAGAGCGGTCCTGCCATATACCAAAAGGTCATGTGACACACACGGATGCTGTAGATGCGGCGGCCTGCCCTCGCAGATACACCTCCGTATTCAGGGATTGTAAGGGCTGTGAGAGCTGCTGCCTGACTGTCGAAGATGCGTGGTTGTTTTGTAGATAAAGTTACCATAAGTGTCATATGATGTTCCTGTGGACGTTAAATATGCCTTTCAAAGACTTAATACAGGATATTTCTTACATCTCGAGTGCAATACAAGGTGCCGTGTTACAGAATATTTCCTATTGATCCCTTACAATTCAAGGTGCCGTGTTACAGGATATTTCCTTTTGATCCCTTACAATACAAGGTGCCGTGTTACAGAATATTTCCTATAGATCCCTTACAATTCAAGGTGCCGTGTTACAGGATATTTCCCATAGATCCCTTACAATTCAAGGTGCCGTGTTACAGGATATTTCCTATAGATCCCTTACAATTCAAGGTGCCGTGTTACAGGATATTTCCCATAGATCCCTTACAATTCAAGGTGCCGTGTTACAGAATATTTCCTATTGATCCCTTACAATACAAGGTGCCGTGTTACAGAATATTTCCTATTGATCCCTTACAATTCAAGGTGCCGTGTTACGGAATATTTCCTATTGATCCCTTACAATACAAGGTGCCGTGTTACAGAATATTTCCTATAGATCCCTTACAATTCAAGGTGCCGTGTTACAGGATATTTCCTATAGATCCCTTACAATTCAAGGTGCCGTGTTACAGAATATTTCCAATAGCTCGTGTACAGTACAAGGTGCCGTGTTCCAGAATATTTCCTATAGCTCGTATACAAGGTGCCGTGTTACAGAATATTTCCTATACCTTCGTTTTGCCCATGGACTAAAAATTGACATACCATGTGTCAGGTAACTGTTAAATTGTATATTGAGTACTGAGCTCGCACGTATTTCCAGGTGAGCTAGCACTGTTCAGGTATTTCCAGGTGAGCTAGCACTGTTCAGGTATTTCCAGGTGAGCTAGCACTGTTCAGGTATTTCCAGGTGAGCTAGCACAGTTCAGGTATTTCAAGGTAAGATGGCGCTGTTCACGTATTTCCAGGTTAGCTAACACTGTTCACGTATTGCCAGGTGAGATAGCAATGTTCACGTATTGCCAGGTGAGATAGCACTGTTCACGTATTTCCAGGTGAGCTGGATCTGTTCTGGTATTTCCAGGTGAGATGGCATTGTTCACGTATTTCCAGGTGGGGTAGCACTGTTCACGTATTTCCAGGTGAGGTAGCACTGTTCACATATTTCCAGGTGAGCTGGCAACGTTCACGTATTGGGCCCCTGGAGAGCCGAGTTTTCTCCACAACTTCGAGGACTGCGTGGCAATGAAGGTGACGGACTCAGGTCACTGGCACGACTTCCCCTGCGAGCTGATCTCCGACGCCTTTGGAAGTATCTGTCAATACGGTTAGTGCTGGTGTAATAGCAACTGTTAAATAAGCACGTCAAAAAATCCATATAGCACCTCTTACCACCCACAACCAATATCCTACAACCTAGATTCCTACCTTTTACATCCCACGACTTACACCCAACAACACACATTCCACAACTTACATCCCAGATCCCACATCCCAACCCGCAACTCACCTTCAAAGCCAACACCCTACCTCATATAAGAGACAACACACATCCCACAACCCAAAACCTGACCTCTTACCACCCACATTTTATTCCTATAAACCGAACCCAAATCCTGCAACCAACATCCCTCCTCCTAAAACCAATAACCCATCACCTATAACCGACAACCCACCTCCTACAACCGACAACCCACCTCCTACAACCGACAACCCACCTCCTACAACCGACATCCCACCTCCTACAACCGACAACCCACCTCCTACAACCAACAACCTACCTCTTACCACCCACATCCCAACCCCTAAAACCCACAACCAACATTCTATTCCTATAACCCGCTACCGAACTCATAGAACCCACATCCCACTTCCGCCACCCACACCATGCAACCCACATCCTGCATCCCGAAATCCATCTCTTACAACCAACCTCCTACAACCAACAACCCACCTCCTACCATACACAACACACTTCCTACAACACACACCATATCTGCTACAAACGCACAACCAGTAACTCATCTCTACAACTCATAACCCATCTCATACAACTCATAACCCACACCTCAACCACCCCCCACCCCCCTCCTACAACCCACAAGCCACATCCCACTTCTACAACCCGCACCAACCTCCTACAACCAATACCTCATCACCTACAACCCGCAACCTACATCCCACCTCGTAATGCCCACATCCCACTCCTATAACCCACATCCCACTTCCTTAACCAACATCCCACTTCTATAACCCACATCCCACTTCTATAACCCACATCCCACTTCTATAACCCACATCTCACTTGTATAACCCACACCCCACTCCTACAACCCACAAACCGAACACCTGGTGCCATCACTGATTTACAGTGGTCCATTCATGTAATTTCCAGAGCTATTTTGCGCTGCAATACGGCGGAAGATCAAGACTCGCCATTCTCTCGCATTGACATTTTATGTTTAAATGCAGCGGGTTGATACAATGTTGTTGAAGACAATCAAATTTCATCATGTGGCCAAACTACTAGTATTATTTTCACTATGGCTGTCATACGGAAACCCGAACTGACCTATTAGAACATACGTTTACTTTCGAGGGATCAGTTGTGGAAATTCTTTCACCAAAACATAAGTATCTGTCTGGGCTAAAATGGATTTGTAAAGCTGGCATCTAAATACAGCCACTACTAAAACCTTCATCTCGTTTCCTTGTTCTACAGACATGCTTCCAAAACCTACCGACGACCCTGGACTGATCATAGGTCAGGCTACAGCTGGTAAGGTCACATCCTACAACCAGCATCCCATCTCCTACAAGCCATCTCCTACTACCCACATCCTACCACCTACAACCCACAAACCTACCGACGACCCTGGACTTAACATAGGTCAGGCTACAACAGCTGGTAAGGTCATAACCTACAACCAGCATCCCATCTCCTACAAGCCATCTCCTACTACCCACATCCTACCACCTACAACCCACAAAACATCCGACGACCCTGGACTTAACAAAGATCAAGCTACAACAGCTGGTAAGGTCACAACCTACGACCTGCATCCCATCTACTACAGTCCATCTCCTATTTTTATGTACAGCTTAAAAATAAAAAATGCAGCAAAGAGGGTTTGGGTGATCCTGGCACAGTCAGGCTGGTTAGGCTCATCATCAGCTCAGGGCCCTTGCCCCCTCCACACGCAGCCCAGACAGCGAATGGGACTTCTCCCAGGAAGCGCTGCCTCGTCAAACCCGCCCAGAACTTTTCGGAGAATGTGAAGACTCCCCAACACTGCAGCCTTCTGCATTACCCAGATTGTCTGAAGGGTTGTATTCCTGGAACGAAATCCCGGGTACTCTCCCAATGTCAGTCAACAGATTGGGAGGTACCAAACCTAAATAATCGAGAACAATGTGGAGTAGGACAACTTGGTACTTGGGATGCAAGCGTGACATTTCGAAAGCGAGGTCCGCATAATTGCCATGTATTTCCTCAATCTTGTCAATCACATTGGTGTCAAAAGGGACAGAATATCCAATGATGTAAATGATTTCATTAGATTTAGGACAAGGACAATATCAGGTTTGTTGGCCTGGATACGTCTGGGGCTGTAAACGGGCCTATTCCAAAGAATTTTGTATTTATCATTTTCCATGACGCCCTCTACATATTCCGGGTCGTGGACCTCTGTGTCAAAACCACAAGCATGGTGAGGTCGGTAATAATATGATCGAGCCACTCCATCATGTCGCTTACGATACTGTGTTTGTGCCAAAGCTAGGCATCCAATGACAATGTGTTGGACAGTCTCATTAAATTCATTACACAATCTACATTTCATATTTACATTTTGATGCAAAATCACACATAGACGGTATCGAGTGGGAAGTGACTGGTCCTGAGCATCAAACAGAAAGCCATCTGTTTCACTTTTCAGGCCAGCCGACTTCATCCAAGCAAATGACTCTGCAGGGTTGCTGAACTTCTCAACACACTGCACATAAACTCGATGTAGTGTCGTTCAGATAGCCTCTGCTTGAAAAAGAGTCTGGGCCGATTTGATATGGCGCTTTGCTTGGTTGACACTCATGTCAGTACCTTCCAACAGTAACATTATTATTGTTGTTGTTGTTGTTGTTGTTGTCCAGATAGCCTCTGCTTGAAAAAGAGTCTGGGCCGATTTGATATGGCGCTTTGCTTGGTTGACACTCATGTCAGTACCTTCCAACAGTAACATTATTATTGTTGTTGTTGTTGTTGTTGTTGTTGTTGTTATTGTTATCCTTATTCATATCTAAATCAAACAGCTAATTCTAACCTGGGTAATAAGCATGCTTTAGGGTGTGTATTTAACACATAATAAATATGCACATAATTATTATGATTATTATCTTAATATCCTTAATCACAGATCACCATATATAACCGCAGATCAACGTTCTTGTATACTTATATACCGAACTGATCCAGGCATCTCTGCTCAAATCAGTTTATGTTTGTTCCCCGATCAGTGGATCCGCATTCCAGTTATCATTCTCAACTCCCTGGAAAGTATACAGCCCATGCTGCCTACAGGCTGGAAGGTTTTGACATCCACTTCACATATCGGGTACCCATTCCCTGCTGGTTGAACAGAGTCACATTAAAACAAATTCACTTTGCCTAGGGTGACAGCAGGCGTTTTGACACTTGTGTTTCGCTGTTGTATGTATGTATTCGTGTCTCCACCATCGGGTCATCTACACACGGATGTGTGGGTTCTTTTGAGTGCACGGAGTGAATGTACTGTACACTAGGGTAAGTGACAACACTGTAAAGACCTGTAGGCGTATTGGTCCATAGTCTGACTAACAACCTGGTCACTAACGGGATACCATCTCACCACCGCTCGCCCTCTCCGCTTGAGGCGTCCAGCATTACCATCCTGAGTGAGTGAGTGAATGAGTGAGTGAGTTGGGTTAACGCCGCTTTTAACATTATTCCAGTCATATCACGCCGTGTCAGCTTAATGTGGGAGGAAAGCCCGAAGTGATGCAGCCAGCAGGTCTCAGACGTTTACCACGTCGGTGAAACCCACGAGCACGGGTATGGTGCTGACAAACGCGGAACAGTGAAACGCGGCACCTTAGACGACTGGGCATCCCGACCCCTGGCATACATACTGCATACATTACTTTATATCTCCCAAATTCGTGTTCCTTTCTGCATGTTTGATTACCGTAACACCGGTTAGCGCCGGACTTATCACAGGCGGGCTACAAACTACTGTTACACCGACAGTCCATTCAACAACTGGTTCTAAGCCCCGGGTCGGTTAATATAGGAATGACTTTATATCTCCCAAATTCGTGTTCCTTTCTGCAGGTGTGGTTCCCGTAACACAGGTTAACGGCGGACCTATCACAAACGGGCAACAACAAACTGACGCACCGACAGTCCATTCAACTGGCTCTAAGCCCCTAATCGGTTAATCCACACACGCCTCACTTATACATCCAAAGCCTTCTCGTCGTTGAAAAATAAAACAAATCTTGATTCTTTTTCATCTGAGGATATGTTTGTTGTGTTTGTTGCCTATAATTGGTAAGTTAATTCAAGTTATGAAAAGAGTTATTTCAAACACAACGAGGGTGACGTTTTAGAGTAACTTCAACAACGAGAGTGAAATAGGAGTGAGTGAGTGAGTTAAAGTTTAACGTCACATCGGCAATATTTCAGCCATATCGTGACGAAACAAAATTCGATATGAACAATTTATATTAAACTGTATAAAATTCTGCTGACAAAGAGCGGTATAATAACTAGAACATCACAGACATTCGTAAAACTAGTTTGAGAACAAGATAAAATAGATATAGATAACTAACTAATCATTTAACAACACATTATAAAAACGGGGTATAGATCGCCACCAACTGAAGGTTGATCACCGCGCTGGGGACCATGGGGACTTACAGTACTTTTGTTACCTGCATGGACCCCAGTCGGATTTATATCATCCCTTCAGTTGTTGGCGATTCCTGACAAATTTAGCCAAACATTAAAAGAACACATATACTACTATTAAAACCGTGGAAGAAATAAATGTACTTTGAAAGACGTGGTCTTACATACCCTCTCAGGGGGTGAAATAGGAACACGCACGTCTACTGGAGAAGCTCGAACGACGGCAAGATTTGTTCTGTCCTGTAAATAAACAAGTAAACAGTGCAGAGCCTAAAGCGCGCACGTCTCACTGCCTTGAAATCCCCGTCAGCTGCCCGTTGTATTCAGGCTCTAAACCGTAGTCCTGCTTGTCATGGCTCCTTGATATGTCAATGAGGTGAGGTGAGGTGAAATTGGGTTTAACGTCGCGTCCAAGATTATTGCACTTATATAGCGACGTGCATGCCCGTGTATGTGTGTGTGGCTGCTTGTACTAGTCCGGACTGATGCCGATTTATAGTGCTAGCTCACTGAGATACCATGCCGCAGTTTAACATAAATACCCCACTCAGACACAGTATACTGACTCCGAGCCGACCAGTCGTTGTTTTAGCCCCTTAATGCCGAGCGCCAGACAGGGTAACAACAAGTACAATCTTTTAACGTCTTTTTGTATGACGCGGCCCGGGATTGAACCCTGGACCTTCCGCTCTCCGGGCGGACGCTCTACCACAAGACCACGGAGGCGGTCGATATGTCAATGACGTGTTCATGATAAATTGCGAATGGGTGAATATGATTTGAAACTATCATCTTTTTGATAATAAAAGACCTTATATTTAAAAGTAAGTTAAACAAAAGACTCCCGTCATTTCAAGTCTTTCAGAACGAAATAAGAAACCACTACAACCTTACTAAATGTGCAGCGATTATTGAGTGTGACATTGCCCTATTCTATAAAAATTTTGGTCAACATGCCATCATCTATTTAGCTGATTACTTAGCTACGTACTGGAATGTCACATTTTATCAAATAAATGTAAAATGATTGGAAAAAATATAAAATTATAAAAAAAAAAAAAATGATTTGAAACCGCATGTAGCAATATTCAAGCCATACCACAAAGATTGGTTTCACATAACCGAGGAACTCTTTAACCACTATAACACTGAATAATAAACAATAATAAACAGCGGACGGGTCGCGACGAACGAACGCATTACCCACTGAGATTCCCCTTGTATTAAAAAGCGAACCCGAGTGGAGAGTGAACGCATTACCCACTGAGATTCCCCTTGTATTAAAAAGCGAACCCGAGTGGAGAGTGAACGCATTACCCACTGAGATTCCCCTTGTATTAAAAAGCGAACCCGAGTGGAGAGTGAACGCATTAACCACTGAGATTCCCCTTGTATTAAAAAGCGAACCTGAGTGGAGAGTGAACGCATTAACCACTGAGATTTCCCTTGTATTAAAAAGCGAACCCGAGTGGAGAGTGAACGCATTAACCACTGAGATTCCCCTTGTATTAAAAAGCGAACCCGAGTGGAGAGTGAACGCATTAACCACTGAGATTCCCCTTGTATTAAAAAGCGAACCCGAGTGGAGAGTGAACGCATTAACCACTGAGATTCCCCTTGTATTAAAAAGCGAACCCGAGTGGAGAGTGAACGCATTAACCACTGAGATTCCCCTTGTATTAAAAAGCGAACCCGAGTGGAGAGTGAACGCATTAACCACTGAGATTCCCCTTGTATTAAAAAGCGAACCCGAGTGGAGAGTGAACGCATTAACCACTGGTAGCATTTGAAGGAAAGTAAAAATCCGTGGAGATAAATGAAAGTATTTTTATCATATAATATTAATGTACGACCAGCCGAAAACGAAATTACATTTCTTGTATGTTAAGTTATTGAGTGAGAGAGTGAGTATGGTTTTACGCCGCTTTTGGCAATATTCCAGCAATATCACGGCGGGGGACACCAGAAATGAGCTTCACACATTGTACCCCCGTTAAGATTTTGAATGGGGTTTAATACCATTAAAGTATATTGTGAAAACCGGCCTCACAAGAAATATTAAAAAATGGTTACATAAAATATCAATTAGTTTAATATCTCGGCCTCGTCGCTGCTTGGCTGAAATATTACCGATTTACCGGTCAGGGGGTATAGGCACTTCACACGCCAAATGTCATATTGAATTGATCGTTTTTCAAACTACGTGATGAATCGTACACGCAGACTGCAGAGGGTTGTCACCTGGGTGTCATCTAAAAATGTCTCTCACGGAAAGATCAGTACCTGTTTAACGCTGCCATATCCCAGCAGACCCGTGAAGATCCGGGGTAGAATAGGTCTTCAGCAACCCATGCTTGCCATAAAAGACGACTATGCTTGTCATTAGAGGCGACTAACGGGATAGGGTGGTCAGGCTCGCTGACTTGGCTGATGCAAGTCATCGTATCTCAGTTGCGTAGATCGATGCTCATGATGTCAATCACTGGATTATCTGGTCCAGACTCGATTATTTACAGACCGCCGTCATATAGCTGTAATATTGCTGACTGCGGCGTCAAACAACAAAGTAACAATATCCAAACAATATTACAGGCAGGGGCTACAAATGGGCTTCACACATTGTACCCCTGGAGAAAATCGAACCGGGTTGCGTCTTGACGTGCGGACGCTATTACCTACAACAGACCCTGTCAATTTCAGGGACACGTACCTCTGCTTGCTGACGTGTTTTGGGGGAAATGCGGTACTGATGGGGGGTAAAATAGGACATCAGTAAACAAAACATATTTCAGAGTATTCGCAGCACATCAGTTGCTTCGTTCGGAATGCTTCTTAAATGAGGTGAGATATTATGAACAATATTTTCAATAATCCACAAAAAAAATTATAGTACACAAAATAGGTAGGCACTGTATAACCGACTATCGGTTAAGTATGTTTCTGTGTAGATGGTCTTTCTCATTATTTTATTCCATTGTTCATACAAACTAGAAAGATGTAGCTAGGTGTGTCCACTCGACTGAACTCGGAAAAACTGGATATTATATTCACCAGATAACAAATACAACATACAACTTTTTTCAATTAACTCAATGTATAATTAATTCTTATTTTCAGAAGAATGAATTTACGTTAAGTTAGCCTGCTTGTTGAATTTGGTAACCATATTTCTGTCACAGTGTGTGTATTGATGGAACTACCTTTTGAAATTTTTGATGAGACCTGGGATTTGGGGAAAGTCTTTTTTTCCACCAAATTGTTGAAACAATAATCTGGCTTCTGGTTAAACATCAACAGCATTGTTTGAAAAATGGGTTATGAAAAGCGACTATCGGCTCCTAGTTTCAAAGACAAACATTGTATGGATTGAAGCACTGACAAAAAACAATTCTGTTTCTTAAAACAAAATAACTGTTCAAATAATGAAAAATAAAATGTTGAAAAGGTTTGTGAGAGTGACTAACTAAATACAAAGATGTTGTTAAAGTGATTTTGGTTAATGGTTAAAGTGATTTTGATTCTTGTGGCGTAATATATATATATAGGTATATGTAGGTAATATATTTGTATTTGTATATATTTATATACTGAACCGCAAAGAAACTGTTCTTAAAGTTAAACACAACACTAGTCTCTGAACAAATGGCATCACAAGTCAGTATCTCGTGTGTCCGCCATGTGCATTTATGACTGCCGTGCAACGTCGATACATGGAATGGATGAGGCGGTTGATGAAGGTCATAGGCACTTGAGCCCACACTCTGAGGAACGCCTGACGTAGTTCAGCTGCAGTTGTAGGCCTTGGTCGGACGTCTGTCTGTGTGTAACGTAAAGGGGGACAATTATCCACGGCATATCTCGCTTCAAAACAAACAATATTTTAATATTTTTATAAGAAAATATCCAGTGAACGAGAAATTCTTTGGTATAAAGTCTACTCCTCATTCATATGAACACATCTGATATCTTCAATGGCAATTTCTAAACCAGGATTTCGTCTTTTCTTTTCCAAAAGAGCCTCTACCTTTTCCCACTGGCAGTTGACCCTGGTCGAATCCCCCATTTAAACGGCATGTCCTCGTTACGCCTACACCCCGTTTTATCTACACTGTTACACACTCTACTACACACAAGTCAAACTACCTTCCGGCAAATGGACTAACCCATCAATAAATAATAACCCAGATTGCTGTGACATGGCCGTTAATTGTTTCTTCTGTTTAAGCTTCTCAGCAAAAGTTTGAATAATGGCTTACGTTGAAAACTGGAAGTGCCCATTTTCAAATAAGGGTCAATAATGTAGAGTATATAGAGGCGTACATGTAGGTGAATTGAGGTGTAGGCGAACTGAGGTCAAACCTTTGAAACATCACATAACAGAATAAAATTAGTAAATATATTAAATCCTTTGGGATCCTATTTTTCGTCTTAAAGTAAATCCTTTTGAGATATTATTCCCTCTCAACAAATACTTTAAAGATATTTTTCTGTCTTAAAGTGAATCCTTTTGCGCTATTTTTCTGGCTTAAAGTGAATCCTTTTGCGCTATTTTTCTGGCTTAAAGTGAATTCTTTTGAGATATTATTCTGTCTTGACGTGAATCTTTGGAGATATGTGCCATCTTAAAGTAGATCCTTTTACATATTGTTTCTGTCTTGAGGTGAATCCTTTTGAGATATTTTCTGTCTTTAAGTGAATCTTTTTGAGATATTTGCTGTCTTAAAGTGAATCCTTTTGCGATATTTTTCTGTCTTAAAGTGAATCCTTTTGCGATATTTTTCTGTCTTAAAGCGAATCCTTTTGCGATATTTTTCTGTCTTAAAGTGAATCCTTTTGCGCTATTTTCCTGGATTAAAGTGAATCCTTTCGAGATATTTTTCTCTTAAAGTGAATCCTTTTGAGATATGTTTCTCTTAAAGTGAATCCTTTTGAGATATTTTTTTCTTAAAGTGAATCCTTTTGAGATACCTTTCCGTCTGTAATTCGACGGTATGCAGTATCCCTCTTTCCTTTTCAGACGGATGGATGGATAAATCACTAAGTTTGAAGTGAGACTCTGGATTATGCATCATGGTCCGTACAATCCGAGTCTGCTATCTCTTCCTCAACGTCCTCATCCTCATATCACTGGCAATGATCATAATGCTTATTGAGATGGACATAGTCCCACCCCAGTTCTCCACAAGATACTCCAACCGGCAAGCGGACGTACATCCCTTCATGTTTCCATCACGCTATGGCGTGTATGACAACACTTCAGACGACGGCTCAAGTAGAAGCAAGACACCAAAGATATACCAGAGTGACAACGATACGTTCTTGCCCTACGTGTCTCAGGCAATGAGGAATCAATATGGTGGGTTTCAAAGAGTCGGTGGCATGCCGGAAGTGTTTGTGTATTCTGCGACCTTTGACCGTCGCGTTGCGCCACCTGGGATAAAAGCAGTGGTTATCTCCCCTGTCAAATTGCCGACGTTGACGTTTCACTGCGTGTTCACGTCGCCAACATCCAGTGCGTTCCATGTCAATGGGGACTTCAAGCTGATTCCTGAGCCGAAATGGAATTACACGTATGTAATACAAGGGAGTGAGTGAGTGAGTTGGTTTGACGCCGCTTTGAACAGTATTCCAGCTATATCACGGCGTGTCAGCTTGATGTGGGAGCAAAGCCTGAAACGATGCAGACCTCAGACGTTTACCACTGATGAATCCCAATAGCACGGGTATGGTGCTGACAAACCTAGAAACATTATCAGGGTGAACCGGGATTCGAACCCACGATCATCGGTTTATGGCACGCCTAAGGGACACAACTCTGCACAGCAAATCACGGCGCCTTAAACGATTGTGCCAACAGTAAACCCCTATGTAAGGAAGATAGGTACTGGATGTAATTTAAAGATCAACCAAAACGTTCACCTAAAAAAAGGTTCAACGATATCTATATAACGTCTCAACGGTCATATTTTCATTTTTTCTTAAATCGAAAAAGTATGTTATATGTGTATCATAATAGTGGTACTACAAATAGTGGCTGATAAACAGTAGCAGCGGTAGTAGAAGCAGTAGTGGTAGTGGTAGTAGTAGTAATAGCAGTAGTAGTAGTAGTTGTAGTAGTAGTTGTTGTAGCAGTTGCAGTAGTGGTACTAGTAATAGTAGTAGCAGTAGAAGTAGTAATAGGAGTAGTAATAGCAGTGGTTGTAGAAGTAGTAGCAGTAGTGGTAGTAGTAGCAATAGTAGTAGCAGCAGCTGCAATAGTAGTAGTAGTGGCAGTACTAGTAGTAGCAGAAGTAGAAGTAGCAACATCAGCAGCAATATTAGTAGTAGTAGCAGTAGCAGTGGTAGTAGTAGTAGTAGTAGCAGCAGTAGTAGTAGCAGCAGCAGTAGTAGTAGCTGTAGTAGTAGTAGCAGTAGTAGTGGTAGTAGTAGTAGTAGCAGTAGTAGTGGTAGTAGCAGCAGTAGCAGTAGTAATAGTAGTAGTAGTAGCAGTAGTAGTAGTAGCAGTAGTAGTAGTAGTAGCAGCAGCAGCAGCAGTAGTAGTAGAGGCAGTAGCAGTAGTAGTAGTAGTGGTAGTAGCAGCACTAGTAGTAGTAGCAGTAGTAGTAGTAGTAGTAGCAGCAGCAGCAGCAGCAGCAGCAGTAGTAGTAGTAGTAGTAGTAGTGTGGTAGTAGCAACAATTAAACTTCTATTTCCATGTGTTCAGTTACAGATCGGGTGTCGTCACCTGCCCTCTACCACGTGGGGTTCGACCCAAGACGGTGTCCCTGGTTGCACCAGGAGTCCAGGAAGTCCTCAATGTGCTGCCCATCCGCTACCCCCCACGCCGCCCGACAAACAACCTGACTCGCTGCTACCCAGCTTTCCACAGCACATACAACGATGTTTCCAACTTGATATCCAACATAGAAATCAGCCGAGTGTTTGGTGTGGAGAAATTTGTGTTTTACAACTATGACATGAATGGCACAGTAAGTCAGATCTTGAACCAGTACCAACTAGAGGGCATCGTGGAGGTGAGAAACTGGTACCTTCCCATACCCCACGAGTCGATACACTACTGGGGCCAGCTGGCGGTGATACACGACTGTCTCTTCAGCCAAACGGGTCTGTCCAGATTTGTCCTCTTTGCTGATGTCGATGAATTTGTCATACCCAGGAAGACGACATCCATCATTCATCTCGCAGAGTCTCTCCTGTTTGACGATAGCTTCACGGGTAAATTCTTCGGCGCTCTGGCTTTCAGGAACGTGTTTTTTCCAGCAATCCTCCCTGAAACAAAACAGATCTTCCCCCAGAAGTATGCAGCACGGGCGTTCAACATCTTCCCCCTCCTCCACTTAACCCATGCACAAGTCCACCAGGCGTATTATCGGTCGAAGGTCCTCGTTATTCCTGAAGCCATTGAGTTCCTCTGGATCCACTCGGTGGAGAAGTTCAAAGAGAAGTGGATTCCCAGGGTGGTTGACGGGGACGTCGCTCTGCTCCACCACTACCGCTACGTCCCCTCCCCCGACATGAAGCATCCCTGGGATGATGACTGCCTTCTACTCCGCTACAGCTCGGTTATTGTGTCAGCTGTTCGGAGGCGGTATTCTAGGTTAACTAAACTGGGCATATTGTAATGTCATATTGGGTAATGTACAAATAAAGATTATATTCGTGTTTGAATCTCTCAATACATTCTTTAGGCTGATACTAACGGGTTACGAATTTGGTGGGTTTGTTGTTTAACGCCAGCAATATTCCACCTATATGACGGTGGTCTGTAAATAATCGAGTCTGGACCACACAATCCAGTGATTAATATCATGAGCGTCGATCCACGCAATTGGGATCGATGACATGCATCAACCAAGTCAGCGAGCCTGACCACCCGATCCCGTTAGTCGCATTTTACGACAAGCAAAGTCCCCTTTTACAACAAGCATGGGTTGCTGAAGACCTATTCTACCCCGGATCTTCACGGGTCAACGGGTTAAGTAGGATACGAGCCCTTTTTCACACAAAGGATCAGCATACTTTATGAAATAAACAGAGAGTAAAGAAATCGTGTTTATAGATCAGATGCGTTCATTTGAACATGAAATATAATCCACGCTGATATAGATAAAGACAGCAAAACCTATCATGTTAAAAGGTTTATTTTTGCATGTTTGGGTCTTGGACTTGTTCAAAGTTAGGTTTTAGCTTAAAGTTTCATATCTCGACATGTTTCACTCATTTAATCCACAACGAGCACGTATTGGAAGGAAACACAGCTAGCTATGAGGCATTTGAACATGTGTGACTTTCGTAAAAACAATATTTTGAAGTTTTCCGTAAGTTTCAATATGACATTTCCAGGTAGTCCTACCTCCGCGAAACTATCCAAACATTTTATTAGATTCAAATAATCAAGTTGATACTGAACGGTGACATTTAAATATACTCTACGTAAAAAGTTCAGGTTCACTGGTATTCTTCAAAAAACATATGGATTTCATGTGCCATGATATATATTTTGACTTAAACGGGCTTCCATACAATTGGTCCTATCCCCCAGGGAGAGATTCACAAACCTCTCATGGTGCATATGGTGTTTAGACTGAATGCATGGCGTTCGTGAGAAGTGAAAACGTATCGCTTCTCATTCAATATACATGTCTTCAAAAAACGCTTGAAATGTGGTAATTCTCTCTTTCAGAATACCTTTAAAGAAAGGCTAAGCTCCATGATCTGGTGTATATTGTGAGTGATTCTGAAGCAACGGGGTATACCTGCAGTCAAAAAGAATTAATTAATACTACACTTAGAATAATTCATAGCGCACAATACCGGCTAATATAACAAATAAGAGCACCCTAGCAATACTATCGGCAAAGCAATATGGCAATATTAATATGCAAATTCATAATCACCAGTGGTATGAGTCCGCATCTACGGTGGCCCATAAGGGACATGGAGTCTGTTTTTCCATATTTTGATATTTCACTTACTTTTATCGTTACCTTTTGCAAATTAACACGATTTGTCATACAAATATGTGATAAATCATGTGTAAAGAAGATATTGAATCGCTGAAAAGAGAAACGGAAATGTCAAAAACTAAAATGAAAATGTCAAAAAACAAAAGCGAAAATGTCAAAAACTAAAATGAAAATACAGAAAACTATTTCCACCGCGGTGGAAATAGGTTTCTGTGGTTTCATTTTAGTTTTTGACATTTCCGTTTTGGTTTTTGACATTTCCGTTTTAGTTTTTGACATTTTCGCTTCACATTTCAGCGAGTCAATAGCTACTTGAAAGTACATTTTCCATGTTTTCGGTTGTTTTTATACATGATTTATCACATATTTGTATGACAAATTGTGTTCATTTGCAAAAGGTTACGATAAAAGTAAGTGAAACATCAAAATATTGAAAAACAGACTCCATGTCCCTAATGGGCCACCGTACGCATCAGACATCGTTATTTCACAGTGGTACATTGTTTACCAAGCATCGACGTGATCTCTGTCCTGTCAGCCCCGACATGGGTGCAAATTCACAAACATGTAATAGGGTCCTCATAAAAGATAAAACAGGAAGAGGCAACCATCGAGGCTGTGTCACATCAAGTTACAGTAACAGTTCAGTATCTAGAGGAGGGCACGGGTGGCCCAGTCGTCTAAGGCGCCGTGATTCGCTGTGCAGAGTTGCGTCCCTTGGGCACGCCAGAAACCTATGGTTATGGGTTCGAACCCCGGTCCGCCCCGATTATGTTTCTAGGTTTGTCAGCACCATACCCGTGCTCGTGGGTTTCACCGAAGTGGTAAACGTCTGAGACCTGCATCACTTCGGGCTTTCCTCCCACATTAAGCTGACACGCCGTGATATAACTGGAATACTGTTAAAAGCGGCGTTAAACCCAACTCACTCACAGTGATTTTGTTCCTACCCAGGAAGTAACCGCATGCCATTAGGTTAATCAACTGCTAAATTGACATGTCTCATAAATTTGAATTTGCAGGGAAACACTTTGGGCTTGAATGACTTGCTTTAAACGTACTAGGGATGGCAAATGGCTCGAGTCTAGTTCCACCTGACTATTAACCTGGTTCACCGTTACTTCTAGTGTCGCCATGATACCGCAGTCCAATTGTACATATCGACAAATATTAACATTCAAGCGTTGATACAGCATTTGGGAAAACGAGTTACATTCTTTGAATTGGCGATTTGTTTGGTAGTGAGTAATTTAACTGAAAACATAACATATGTGTTCGTTATTGCGTTGTTGTTGTTGTTTATTTGTTTGTTTGTTGTTTAACACCGCACTCAGCAATATTTCGGCTGTATACAGGCGGTCTGTAAATAATCCAGTCTGGACCAGACAATCCAGTGATTGACATCATGAGCATCGATCCACGCAATTGGGATACGATGACATGCATCAACCAAGTCAGCGAGCCTGACGACCCGATCCCGTTAGTCGCCTTTTACGGCAAGCATGGGTTGCTGCATTCGTCACCACTCGCCCCTTTCCGTAACCTGCAAGAAGACTCGTCCCCCTATCGACGAATGTTATGTGCGAAGATACGACAAACCAATCAGAATGCGCCTATGATTTCAAGTTCTTCGTCAAGGAATCCCTGAGAAATAATTTTTGATTTTACATACGTCTTGCATCTAAACATATACCCAAGACACAGTTAAATGTGTTCAGTCATACTGTATAATTCCGCATGTCCCGATGTGCATCTGAAATATATATAAAATATTGGGAAATATATGTGAACCATTACACAACGAGTTGACAATTGTTTTAGGTATGCCCGTTTGCGCTAAGACGGAGCCCGGTCACAAAAATTGCCACGAGAGGGGCACGAGTCGCTATTCGGCTTGTCCCGGAATAACACGAGTTGGTCATGAATGGGGTTGCTGAAGACCTATACTGGCCCGGGTCTTCACGGGTACACGGGAGTTTCAACGTAAACATGTATATACAAGTATAATGACAGTAACTACCTACGATCACACGTTCACGATGCCTTTCACGACATATAATATAGCTGTTCGCCACATGAAGGTCAACGGTTGTAAATATCATATAGTCAACCATTATATGTGTACCAAGTAATTCATGTGTGTCAAAATTCATAATCATACATAAAGAAATGGCTGATCAACGGGCGAAAATGCAATTTCAATATTCAATATGGCCGCCATGTCTAAAATCGAACTCTCTGTGAGGACCGTTTGAACAGACCCTTGTACACCCTGTAGTCCCGAGGAAGTTCCGTACAGTGCACCGCCCACAAAGAGATTAATGGCCAGGTAGCTCTCGGCCAGAGAGGTCAACTGGAAAATGAACAGTCCACCAACAGGAGTCGTGAAGATACCTGTTGTTTGGTTGAAGCCTTGTCCGAAGTTCATTGGATGTCATCGTATATGATTGGTCCGTTGCGAGCTATAGTTCGATTCCAGAACGACGGCCTTGGTTGAGAAAAGCGAGCAAGAAACGCAACTTCTTTCTCCAGTTTTGCTGTAATGATGCAGTGAGACAAGAATATCTGTAAAATAACATCTCACACACGACTGCAGTTGTATTCATGTACAAAACACCCAAGCATACCAAATCATGCCTAATTTTGCCCTTTAATAAACTAATGCTTACAGATATAGAATTTGAAAGACTTTGTGGGAATACGGGTCAGAATTGGCCCCAGTACCATTGCTTGTGGTAAGAGCTGATTAGAACGTTCAGACGGTGGACGGATGACGTGCTTGGATCGTTGTTCATGATTTAACTCTGTCAAGAGATTTTATGACAGCCCTAAAACAAGCCTAAATGCTCGGTGATGATGCAAAGTGTTTGTGAAAACGTGAGAGTTCCCTTCCCAATCGGTACCACCTATCACAAACACATGCAAAGGCAAGTGTTATGTTCTCCTAATAAACACTGGATAATATGGTACAATTCAAAATATAGAATTGCAACGGACACCTTTACAGTGGCCCATAAGGGACATGGAGTCTGTTTTTCAATATTTTGATGTTTCACTTACTTTTATCGTAACCTTTTGCAAATTAACACAATTTGCCATACAAATATGTGATAAATCATGTATAAAAACAACCGAAAACATGGAAAATGTACTTTCAAGTAGCTATTTAGTCAAAAACTAAAATGGAAATGTCAAAAAGACAAAACGAAAATGTCAAAAACTAAAGTGAAACCACAGAAAACTATTTCCACCGCGGTGATAATATTTCCACCGCGGTGGAAATAGTTTTCTGTATTTTCATTTTAGTTTTTGACATTTTCGTTTCGTTTTTCAGCGATTCAATATCTTCTTTACACATGATTTATCACATATTTGTAAGAAAAATCGTGTTAATGTGCAAAAGGTTACGATAAATATAAGTGAAATATCAAAATATGGAAAAACAGACTCCATGTCCCTTATGGGCCATCGGACACCTTGAATATTATGACCGTGATCAAATAACTTCTGAGTAAGAGTCGTAAGATGCTCTTTGAAATCGTGGTAGAAAGGGCATGCTCGATTGTACCTCAAGAGTTGTGAAATGTAAACTACAAAGACTGGAAGCACATGAATAACGTTCGACATAAAGGAAAACTTGACGATGGAAAGTTGAAATTTTCCCTCTTGTCATACAGTCTTGAGGAGAGTGTTTTGTCACCCTAAATCTTTATGAATAGATATGAATATTTTAAACAGATGAGGCGGTCTCACTGTTCTCCTTCATTTCTAGTTCAAGGGGCGGTCGGGTAGCCTAGTGGTTAAAGCGTTCGCTCGTCACGCCGAAGACCCGGGTTCGCCGTGATATTGCTGGAATATTGCTAAAAGCGGCGTAAAACAATACTCGCTCATTTCTAGTTCAGGTGGGGGAAATCATCGGAAGGGAACTGGCTATTTGATGGTTATTGAACAACATCAGATCATCGATATACCTGAAGCTCAAGTTCTTAACTTCTTGGCCAGATTACCTTGTTTTGGCTTTGCCAATCTCTGGTTTTGTAACAAAAGTCCCATGGATCAAGGAATGAAGTTTGTCATGTGGTATGGTGGTGTACAAAGTTTGTAAGAAATGTTTTGACAGAATTGAACTTGGTTCTCTTCTGAGATTGTATAAGGTCAAGCAAATCCTTTAAGGTTTTGAGAATCTACGTGGTATTAATTGTCTCAAATATTTTCTGTGAATATAAAGAAAACCCTATATGTACTTTCTGCGAATATAAAGAAATTCCTTCCTTGAGTGGAGTGAGTGAGTGAGTGTGTATGGTTTGTACGCCTCTTTTCACAATATTACTGTAATGTCACGGCGTGGGACACCACAAACGGGCTTCACGTCGTTGATTGGAATCGGGGAGTTAAACATAGACGATAGAGCGGGTTTGTTATCGCCACGTGATCGCAAAATAGATGGTCATGCCTTGTCCATATTCATTATAGGTCAAGGTATTCGGTATTTATATACGTAACGGATTTTTGTATTTATGTATATGCATGCTCTTTTGAAAAAAGAAACGCATTACGGATATTTTTTCCCAGAAAGGTGAAATTAGGTGACCAAGAGGTGCAAAATGAAGGGGTTTAATGTGTTACAGTGTCATTGACAAATTTCCAGGATCAAAATGAGTGAGTGGGTGAGTTGGGTTTAACGCCGCTTTTAACAATATTCCAGTTATATCGCGGCGTGTCAGCTTAATGTGGGAGGAAAGCCCGAAGTGATGCAGGTCTAAGACATTTACCACTTCGGTGAAACCCACGAGCACGGGTATGGTGCTGACAAACCTAGAAACATAATCGGGGCGAACCGGGATTCGAACCCACAATCATAGGTTTCTGGCGTGCCCAAGGGACGCAACTCTGCACAGCGAATCGCGGCGCCTTAGACGACTGGGCCACCTGTGCCCCCGGATCAAAATGATCACAACATGCAAACTATTAGTCGGGAAACACGTACGAATCGGAAAAACGCACCCAGTGCATTAATAAAAGGGCCATGGAGCTGCACGTACTGCACGTGCAGCAACACTATGAACGGTATTGAAATGCAGGGTTTTTGATTGCCTGGCATCTACGTCAATCGAACAGTGACAGGTTTGGTGGGGGTAGCGTTTTGATCTGGGCGGCTATCTCTCATCATGGCAGGTTAGGTTTGGTACATGATGTAGGGCAATCTTACGGCTCAACGATTCATCAACGAAATTCTCCTACCACACGTCCTCCCAATTGCATTAATTGTATTGTATTGTGTATCCCAGCAGGACAACGCTCGACCGCATACAGCACGGATCAGAAGAGCCTGTCTACACAACAACAACGTTGATGTTCTCCCCTGGCCCTCCAGATCCCCGGATGTGAACCCGATAGAGCACATGTGGGATGAATTGGATAGACGGCTACGCCGACGTCAACCACAATCCCAGACGTTGCAGCAGTTGCCTTTTACGTTGCAGGCCGCGTGGGCTGCTATTCCCTAGGATGTGGTTCGCATAGTCGTCTCTTACATAGGCAGGAGATGTCAGGCCGCTATCGATTCCAACGGGGGACTTACGTTATTGATGGTAGCTGACCTTCACCTTGGACTTTTCCTATGTACCAATAACTGAGATGACTACAATCACCAAGTGTTCTCTCCACAACATTTTGGCTCAATACCTTGTACGGTTCCTCGCATAAATGTATTTTCCTACCTAAAAAAAAATCGGGCTTTGCGTTTCTTTTTTTGAAGAGTATAATATACACAAGTTCTAATTGGTAATTCTAATTATTTCTAAATCTTCAGATATAAGGGAAAGCTGATGTCATGTTTTGATATATGCAACTTTCCTCATGATAAGGAGCGACCCACGAATTCTTCGTCTATCAAACATTAAGCATCCGTGCATACCTCTTATCAAGTCTTGTATAGAGGATAAAGTGACTTGCCACAGATTGTCTTGCAATTCTGTTGTTTGTTTGGACACCGATAAGATACACATCCGGCATGTGTACATTCCCACAGTGTAATTGCGCCTCAGTAAGGTCTGCTTCGTGCCACGTGAGCAGTTTTGTTAAGATTTCTTCCGTTTTGAGAGCAATTAATTGCAACGGCAATGGAGGCTTACATCATATTATACCTTTGTTCTTTGGGATCAAGCCTTGGGTATCTTCTGGATAGCCAAAGTGCCAATCAAAATGACTCGTTGATTCTGCAGCTGCAGCAGGACGTCAAGAAGATGCAAGATGAGCACGTCCAGACAAGCGTTGAGATGAAGGATTTTGCCCTGAAGTTGAAAGAGAAAGACATACTTATTGAATATCTCCTGAAGCAACATCTAAGTCAACAGGACATTATTAACAACATGACAATGAAATCTGACCAACAGGACATAGTGTTGAGGAACTTAACGGCAGAACTTTCCCAGCAGAAATTTGGTAAGTCCAAAGTTTTATTTCCATTTATTAAAGGGGCCGAGCATTTAGGCTTGTTTTAGGGCTGTCATTTAATCTCTTCGGCTTGAGTGAGTGAAGTCATGAGCAACGATCCAAGCACGTCATCCGTCCACCGTCTGAACGTTCTAATCAGCTCTTACCACAAGCAATGGTACTGGGGCCAATTCTGACCCGTATTCCCACAAAGTCTTTCGAATTCTATATCTGTAAGCATTAGTATATTAAATGGCAAAAGTAGGTATGCTTTGATATGCTTGGGTGTTTTGTTACAATTACATGAATACAAATGCATTCGTGTTTGAGATATTATTTTAAACATATTCTTGTCTCATTGCATCATTACAGCAAAACTGGAGAAAGAAGTTGCGTTTCTTGCTCGCTTTTCTCAACCAAGGCCGTCGTTCTGGAATCGAACTATAGCTCGCAACGGACCAATCATATACGATGACATCACAGTGAACTTCGGACAAGGCTTCAACCAAACAACAGGTATCTTCACGACTCCTGTTGGTGGACTGTACGTTTTCCAGTTGACCTCTCTGGCCGAGAGCTACCTGGCCATTAATCTCTTTGCGGGTGGTGCACTGTACGGAACTTCCTCGGGACTACAGGGTGCACAAGGGTCTGTTCAAACTGTCGTCAGATTGAATGCTGGCCAAACGGTGTTGACGCAACTAGCACAGGGAACTGGAACCCTGGTTGGGTCACGGGGGTACACGCAGTTTTCTGGCGTTTTGTTGCACAGCTACTGATGATGCACCTTAGTGAATACACAAATGCAACCATGAACTCAATGTGTATGTTTTAATTAATTAATATTTAAAACAAAGATAATGTCTGTTTGCTGTTTGACGTCGCACTCAGGATTATTCCACCGATATGGGGGCGGTCGGTAAATAATCGAGTCTCGACCAGTCAATCCAGTGCTTGACATCATCAGCATTAATCTACAATTGGGATACGATGACATGCATCAACCAAGTCAGAGAGCCTGACCACACGATCCCGTAAGTCGCCTCTTTCGAAAAGCATGGGTTTCTGAAGACCTATTCCTACCCGGGTCTTCACGGATACAAAGATAATGAGTAAGTGTTGTTTAGCGATACCATTGTTCCTGTTATTAATCAAATGTGGACCAGACAAACCAGTGATGGTCAGTATGAATAACAAACCCGTGAAGATCCGGGGTAGAATAGCTCTTCAGCAACCCATGCTTGCCGTAAAAGGCGACTATACTTGTCCTAAAAGGCGACTATGCTTGTCGTTTGAGGTGACTAACGGGATCAGGTGGTCGGACATATCGAACATATTTCAAACAATTTCTGATAATTGCATCTTGCCGAGGCAAGGGAGTTAAGTCCATTTTCCACCCTTGCCGAACTAGGCTGGTATTATGGAGATATATTTTGGCTGAACTAACGAATCTATTCATAGTCCAATCAAAATCGACATCCGATTCCTCAACTGTCGTGCAGATTTCGGTCGACTGCATGATTTGTAAAGCATGTGTACCGCCAACTCGGCGCTAACAGATATTTTCCAAATATCTTGATGTTTTGTTATGAAGGTGATCACGTGATTTGATGCACCTATCGAAGTAGGGCCAGGGTTTTTTCAATAGAGATCTTATTTATCGATCAGATCGTGTTGACTGGGCGTCGCCGTTTTGTTTAAAGCAAATGCAAGTGACATAAGAAGTGGATTCTGATTGGTCAATAGGAGAGCCCATAGAAGGGACATAACTCGTAGTAGCCACTGGTGGCGCTACGATCGGGCCCCGAAATTCCAGCCTAGTTCGGCAAGGGTGGAAAATGGACTTTTAGTCAGTTAACTCATTTGCCTCGGAAAGATGGAAAATTGATGAAATCAAGTCCGTCACAGAATGGAAGCGTTCGTAAAATCACCAACAGTAATCGATATGGGGCCATCAGCTGCAACGAGCGCAGCCGTTCCTTTATAACATACCATCGATGTTAAATTTAATATGTAAATAACGCATTGCCATACATTATTTGGAAATGATAATTTTGGACAATGGGAATTGGTTCTTTTTTTAATGGTACATTACTTTCTGGATGTTGATGGTTTTGGGGGTTTTTTTAATTTCAGTGTATTTCCTCAGTGAGATAATCCTTAGCCGACTGTCAAACATAAGTTTGTAAATTTGTCTTAATGTAACAGGTTGTAATCGTGTCGGAACATCTGGTATGTTATACATGTAGGGCAAACCATGTCGCCCAGGGTTGGTTGGTTGGTTTGTTGTTTAACGCCGCACTCAGCAATATTCCACCTACATGACGGCGGTCTGTAAATAATCGAGTCTGGACCAGACAATCCAGTGATTAATATCATGAGCATCGATCCACGCAATTGGGACCGATGACATGTATCAACCAAGTCAGCGAGCCTGACCACCCGATCCCGTGAGTCGCCTCTTACGACAAGCATATTCGCCTTTTACGGCAAGCATGGGTTGCTGAAGACCTATTCTACCCCGGAATCTTCACGGGTTGCCAGTGTCGTTGAAGATGCTAATGTCTCCGAGGGATTACTAGAGATTGTAAACCCTCACATGAGGGAACGTCCCGTAGGAGAAATGGTTTGTCCAACTTATAAACCGACTCATCGCATAGACAACGTTTTTAATTAAATAACTGTAATAAAAACTCTCAAATGTATAACCTGTGTCGGAGATGAAATATCGCCTGCAGTCGTGAACTCGGTTCAAAGAAACCGGTGACCTCAGCACGTGAGTTTCGCAACGGTGCGAAATCTGCACGTGCGTCTCGCAATGGCACGGAATCTGCACGTGCGTCTCGTAGGCTGTTCGTAGTTTTTGTTCTATCAAGGGTTTACAATGAGTGTTACAAAGGCCTCCTGCGAGGTGTTACCACAATTTCAAAAACTCCATATCGAGTTACACAAACAGCCAGTAGGTTTATCAATTGTACCCATTGGGGTGGGTGAAGGCGCTAGCAATTAACCTACCTCACCTTATGGTTGTGTATCCTTGTGTAATACTCTTACACCATCGTAGGTCGGGTAGCCTTGTGGTTAAAGCGTTCGCTCGTCACGCCGAAGACCCGGGTTCGATTCCCGACATGGGTACAATGTGTGATGCCCATTTCTGGTGTCCCCCGCCGTGATATTGCTGGAATATTGCTAAAAGCGGCGTAAAACCATACTCACTCACTCACACCATACCGGGTTATATGTGTAACTTCCATGCCGCAGTTTTACAGACAACCCACTCACACAGGCAAGTCCTTGGTTTATCCCATTCATGCCGAGCGTCAGACAGGTTGACAACAAGTTGATTGGTTTGTTGGTTTGTTTGTTGTTTAACGCCGCACTCAGCAGTATTCCAGCTTTTTGACGGCGGTTTGTAAATAATCAAATCTGGACCAGACAATCCAGTGATTGAGATCATCGATCTACGCAATTGGGATACGATGCCGTCAGTCGCCTCTTACAGCAAACATGGCTGCCTCTTACGGCAAGGACCGCCTCCGTGGTCTAGTGGTAGAGCGTCCGCCCGGAGAGCGGAAGGTCCGGGGTTCGATCCCCGACCGCGTCATACCAAAAGACGTTAAAAGATGGTACTTGTTGTTACCCTGTCTGGCGCTCGGCATTAAGGGGCTAAAACAAGGACTGGTCGGATCGGAGTCAGTATACTGTGTCTGAGTGGGGTATTCATTTAAAACTGCGGCATGGTATCTCAGTGAGCTAGCACTATAAATCGGCATCAGTCCGGACTAGTACAAGCAGCCACACACACACGTGCATGCACGTCGCTATATAAGTGCAATAATCTTGGATGCGACGTTAAACCCCATTTCACCACCTCTTACAGCAAGCAGGGGTTGCTGAAGACCTATTCTGACCCAGATATTCACGGGTCTATTATGTTCGAATGTGTTATACTATCATAATGGTTTTAGGAACTGGTGTCAAAATATGTCCATGTTCAGTGACGCACAAGTGTTTATATTACCAAGTTACGATACTTTCAGTTTAACATGATACCACCAAATGATAATCAGGGTTGTGCGGGAGTTGCCTCCCTTACATTGAATCTTTTCCCTGCCTGGGTATGTAGACGACGAGGCAGACCATCACGATGGGACTCGTTTTTTTTACTTTCCATGGGTGTGGTTAACGGCGCTTTCAGCAATGTTCAAGCAACATCACCAGCAATGGGCTTCACTCATGTGGGGATACGAACTCCGGCATGACAATCCAACGATTATGTATTGTAGTGAGTGAGTTGGGTTTAACGCCGCTTTTAACAGTATTTCAGTTATATCGCGGCTTCATGTGGGAGGAAAGCTCGAAGTGATGCAGGTCTCAGACGTTTACCACTTCGGTGAAACCCACAAGCATGGGTATGGTGCTGACAAACCTAGAAACATAATTGGGGCGTCCGGGATTCGACCCACAATCATAGGTTTCTGGCGTGCCCAAGGGACGCAACCCTACACAGCGAATCGCGGCGCCTGAGACGACTGGGCCACCCGTGCCCCCGATTATGTATTGTACGACTATACATGTATGAATCATTACTTAGAGTAGGTAGAGTTGTACGCCGATTTAGCAATATTCCGACAAAAAAATCCAAAGACAACAGAAATGGGATTCACACATGTACCTATGTTAGGATTCGAACCTGGGCCTTTGGCGTGACGAGCGAATGTTTAAACCATTTGGCTACCGCAACTCCTGCGATGCCTGAAGTGATGTAGATGTGGACGATTTTCGGTGAAACCCACGAGCACGGGTATGGTGCTGACAAACCTAGAAACATAATCGGGGCGAAACGGGATTCGAACCCACAATCATAGGTTTCTGGCGTGCCCAAGGGACGCAACTCTGTACAGTGAATCGCGGCGCCTTAGACGACTGGGCCAGCCGTACCCCCTTATGAGCAAGGAAAGCACAAAGCAACGAATGATATTAACCATACTCTATACAGGGCCATTTGGGCCCCAACGCTGTATGTACACACTTGATGAAGCGGATCATGATTAACCAGAAATATGGCCCGTGTTTAATAAAAAATTCCCCCCACATCTCAGTTACAGAGATAGGACTGTTTCAGACCTTCACGAACATCGCTGCCAGAATAAATGGTTGGTCTCACAAATGACATCGACACGAGAAGATTGGGTTAGAATTGGTCTTCAGCATCCCATGCTTGTCGTAAGAGGCGACTAACGGGATCGGGTGGTCAGGCTCGCTGACTTGGTTGATGCATGTCATCGTATCCCAATTGCGTAGACCGATGTTCATGATATAAATCACTTGGTTGTCTGATCCAAACTCGATTATTCACAGACTGCCGTCAAGCAGCTCGACTTATGCTAAGTGCGGCGTTAAACAACAGAAAAGCAAACAGAAATGACATTAAGAGGACGATTTCATACGAAAATAAACATAATTTATTGCACCGACGAATACTGCAAAATTGGCAGTGACGCGATACGTCACATGATCCAGATCCCCACATCACTGCTTGCACATGCAAATCCGCAATTGTAATTCTCGGACAAGACAGCCATGACCTGTGACAGAGTTCACGCACCAGCGGGTCACTTCCGATCTCATGGATTCGTTCACCCTACAGTCATTCTCAATACGCTCATGCTACTTCGAAGTCCTCGCTCCTCCATCTTCTTCGGCCATATTGTGATGACCTACAGGAACACGCATCTCTGATGTCATAATACACTTACGTCACAATGACGTCGAACTTCCCGATGTAGTTCCACACAGCTTTCTTAGATTTGCACATTATATCCACTGCCCACACACTGACAATTCAATGACGTCAGAACAGAACGTCAGTGTGACGTCAACGCTGACTTCTGTCCCAACACTTGTCTAGTCAGTTCTTCGAATGCCTGAAAGTAGAGGAAACACGTCTATGTCACAGAGCATATAACTCGGCATGATAAACAAGAAAAAAGTGAGCAAAGCTCGCATACCCCCGTTATCCCCGCTGGTCAACAACAAATAGTAAATAGTTTGTTAATTAATGAAACATACCTGTTGCTTTAAGTCAGAGGAACTGCCCCTTCCTTTGTAACCCCACGAGGACGCATTATGTTTCAAATGAACACATGTTATTGCAAATATATCTCAATCTAGTGTGGGATAATCAATGCTTAGCACAATATACATTCTTGATGTTTCTTAATGTGTCCATGGAAACGGCAAAAATTAAAAAATTCAGAATCTTCAAACTAGCAAAAGGCACACGTACTCGTTGTGGTTAATGTGTGTAGAAAGTTTGGTGAAGCTAGGGTGCATGGTTAAAGAGTTATGGGCCGTACAAAAGCTCGGACGGAAGGACGCACGGACGGAAGGACGGACAGACGGAACGCTATATACCCCCCGATTTCCTTCGTAACGGGGGTATAACAAGCATACATAGGACCTGGTAAAAAATATTTTACAGTCTTCTAATCCGTCCGTGCCGATACATTTGTTTTGTCTGTTTGTTTGATGTTTACACCGCGCTCAGCAATATTACACCGGTACCTCTATGACGGTGGTCTGTAAATAATCGAGTCTGGTTCAAACAATCCAATGATTGACATCATGAGCATCGATCAACGCAATTGGGATTGATGACATGCATCAGCCATGTCAGCGAACCTGTCCACCCGATCCCGTTAATCGCCTCTTACGGCAAGCATGAGTTGCTGAAGACTATGCTCTACCCAGATCTTTAGGGGTCACATACATTTGTAGTGAGTTTGGTTTAACAGAATAATAGTAACAGTATTCCAGTTATGTCCCACGTGTCGTCATAATGTGGGAGGAAAGCCCGAAGTGATGTAGGTCTTAGACGTTTACCACTTCGGATAACCCCACGAGCACAAAAACTAAATTGATCACGAAGAATCTTTGAATCGAGTCCACGTTAAAGGGACGCAACTCTTCACGGCGAATTGCGGCGCTTCAGGCCACTGGCCATGACATACCCGGTCCAGAAACATTTGCAAACATTTGAAATTTTAGTTCATTATAACCGTAGTTATCGTCGTCGTCGCATTTAAAGACAGTATCTATCCACTTAAAAGGCCATAGTCTCATCACAGTTTTACTTTTGTTTATTGAGGGAGTAAACTGGGGTCAAGGCGTCAGTACTTAATCCTGTTAATAACTTGCCCCAGGTTGTTTACTGCCGTTTTGCCGATGAGTGAGTGACAGTTTAACGTGGGAGGAAAGCCCGAAATGATGCAGGTCTCGGACGTTTACCACTTCGGTGAAACCCACGAGCTGACAAACCTAGAAATCGGGGCGAACCAGGATTCGAACCCACAATCATAGGTTTCTGGCGTGCCCAAGGGACGCAACTCTGCACAGCCAATCGCGGCGCCTTAGACGACTGGGCCACCCGTGCTCCCGTGTGGCCGATGATGTTTTGATAGACTGATTGGTGACACGTGAACAGCTCGTTACAGCTCGTTAAAATATACAGAAATCGTGCGTAATATCTGCCAGTTCGTTAAAAACGTGTTCATTAGAAACGTTGCTGACTGTGTACCCGGTGACCCCCTCCATCCCTACTCCATTCTGCCCTTACGAAGTTACAAATACATAAATGTGAATGATGACCCCAATCGCTCTTATAAATCACGGATCCGACCCGTGAAGATCCGGGTTAGAATAGGTCTTCAGCAACCCATGATTGCCGTAAACGGGACCATGCTTGTCGTAAGAGGCATTTAATAGGATCGGATGGTCAGGCTCGCTGACTTGGTTGATACATGTAATCGAATCCCAATTGGGTAGATCGATATTCATGAAGTCAATCACTGGATAGTCTGGTCCAGATTCGATTGATTAGAGACAGACGTCATATAGCTGGGATATTGCTGAGTGTGGCGTTAAACAAGAAACAAACAAAATAAAATCATTGATCCGCTATCATCCCCCCCCCCCCCATTCTACCCCTACCCAACAGCCATGGCGGACACCCGATCCCAGTTACACATTTCTTACAAAAAATATAGAGTACAGGACCCCCAAGGAATCGTTCCCACAGATCGTGTCAACTTACATCAATCTCCGCCATGATGCTAGGGTTGACCTCTCGTCGTGGGGAGCTGGGTTCGCCTTCAAACGACAACGACGACGTCGACAAGGTCGGCCCTGCACTGTAGGACCGTGTCATCATCTCGGCTCGCGCAGCAGACAACCCTCTGTCCCGAGGGGAGAGGCGGGCCACAGGGGGTGAAGCCGGGAAGCTTGTCACCCTCGGGGAGGAGGGAGAGCGGGGGGAGCGAGGGGAGCGAGGGGAATAGGAGGACGCGGGGGTGGATCGCCCTGACAGAGGACTCTCGGGATCCTGGGAGCCTAGGTGGGAGAAGTCACTTGACGACGCCATGGAAGTCAACTCGGCAGAAGACGAAAAACTAATGGACGAAATAATGTCTGCCGTATGAGTTGTCAAGTCTATCATTTCTTGGCTCTGGTTCGCAGGGCTGAGCTCGGGGTCATCCGGGTTGTAGTCGTCAATGTGTAGACTCTGGCTTTTGCGGGCGTTCTTCCTCCACCCGGCTTTAGCAAAGGTCCTGTGCGCTAATCTCTGGACGCTCGCCTTGAGGCTGTTGCTTCGTTGGACGGCCTGTTCGTCGGATTCAAAGGAATCCCCCTTCTTCAAGAGATCACTTTCAGTCGGGACTTTGTGGAAGCCGAGTTTGGCCGACTTGATGTTGTTGTTGGTGTGAACGCCCTCGTGGTTGAGGTTGATGTCAATCTCCTTCAACGTCGTCGACAGCTCCTTCAGCTGTTCCACCAACTGAGGATTCTTGTCGTCCTGGGATTTCTTCTTCCCGATTTTAAACAAAGATTTCTTCTGTCCGTTTTTGCCCCCATCTCCAAGCTGCCTCTGTATGGCCTCCATCTGAAGACAGAAACAGTGAGTGAGTGAGTGAGTGAGTGAGTGAGTGAGTGAGTGAGTGAGTGAGTGAGTGAGTGAGTGAGTGAGTGAGTGAGTGAGTGAGTGAGTGAGTGAGTGAGTGAGTGAGTGAGTGAGTGAGTTGGGCTTAACGCCGCTTTAAACAGTATTCCAGTTATATCACGGCCAGCTTAATGTGGGAGGAAAGCCCGAAGAGATGCAGGTCTCAGACGTTTACCACTTTGGTGAAACCCACGAGCACGGGGCGGACCGGGATTCGAACCCACAATCATAGGTTTCTGGCGTGCCCAAGGGACGCAACTCTGCGCAGCGAATCGCGGCGCCTTAGACGACTGGGCCACCCGAGCCCGAGTGAGAGAGAGAGAGTGAGTGACCAATAATAACATTCAACACAATTACATTATTCATAAACCTTTTTGGGTTTTATGCCGCTTTAAACGTTATTACAGCAACCCACAGTGGGGGACACCAGAAATGCGCCTCTCGCATAGCACCTGCTACGCGCACTCGAATCCCACCGCCTTCAAGGCAGGGACAGACGTCGACCACTATAACTGTATCATCTCGTGGCACTAATCGCATTGTTTTCTTACAACCTTTGTCAGGAACACTGACGTTGGATTTTAGGGAATGTCATAACAATACGAAATAATATATCATGTCAAACCTGACTGGCATGTTGACAAAATCGAGGATGTATTGTCAAGGATATTCCAAAACGTTATTACATGAGTTTAATTCAACTTATCAGATTCCTTAGCACCACGTTATTTCTCAGGAACCGCGTGGCGTTTAAGTTTTCTCTTGAACCATAGAGTGTGTGAGTGAATGTTGTTTTACACCTCAGTAAAGTGAGTTGAGTGAGTGAGTGAGTGAGTTGGGTGTAACGCCGCTTTTAACATTATTCCAGTGATATCACGGCGTGTCAGTTTAATGTGGGAGGAAAGCCCGAAGTGATGCAGGTCTCAGACGTTTACCACTTTCGGTGAAACCCACGAGCACGGGTATGGTGCTGACAAACCTAGAAAAATAATCGGGTCGAACCGGGATTCAATCATAGGTTTCTGGCGTGCCCAAGGGACGCAACTCTGCACAGCGAATCGCGGCGCCTTAGACGACTGGGCCACCCATGCCCCCTAAAGTGAGATGAGGTGAAATGGGGCTATACTAATGATGCCTTCAAGATTATTGCACTTACATAGGGACGTGTGCGTGCGTGCGTACGTGAGCGCGTGCCTGCGTGCGCGCGCTTGTACTAGTCTGGACAAATGCCGATTTTATAGTGCTAGTTCACTGAGATACTATGACGCAGTTTAACCTAAAAACCTCACTCGGACACAGCATACTGACTCCGAACGGACCACCCCTTGTTTAAGCCCCTTAATGCTGAGCGCCAGGCAGAGTAACAACAAGTAACTTCTTTTCGTATGACGCGGTCTTGGATCGAAGCCCTGACCTTCCACCATCCAGGCAGAAGCTCTACCACTTGACCATGGAGGCGGCCACCTCAGTGAGCAGGGCCCCGCTGCACAAAGCGATCTTAGCGCTACGATTATCGTAAGTCTATGTTAAAGTAGGGGAGCTAAGATTGTTTTGTGCAACGGGGCCCTGCTCACAAAGGTGACCGCCTCCGTGATCTAGTGGTAGAGTGTCTGCCCGGGGAGAGGAAGGTCATGGCTTCAATCTCCGGCCGCGTGATACGAAAAGACAAATGCCATGTGTTCCATCTACACCTCTGAGGCCCATTAATTAAGAAGTTTTGAGTGAGTGAGTGAGTGAGTTTGGTTTAACGCCGCTTTTAACAGTATTCCAGTTATATCGCGGCGTGTCAGCTTAATGTGGGAGGAAAGCCCGAAGTGATGCAGGTCTCAGACGTTTACCAATTCGGTGAAACCAACGTGCACTGATATGGTTCCCAAGGGACACAACTATGCACAGCGAATCGCGGCGCCTTAGACGACTGGGCCACACGTGCCCTAAGAAGTTTTGACTAAGTAGAGCAACGGTAATTGACGAGAGCGGCCAAATGAGTTTGTATAAACGCTGCTTTGAACTATTTTTCAGTGGCATCAGGGCGTGTCAGTTCGACGTGGAAGGAGATATGCTGGTCTCAGACGTTTTCCACATGGTAAAACCAACAAAAACGCCATTGTTCAACCCACTAGCGTGAGATCCTGGCACGAATAAGGGACGCAACTCTGCACAGCGATATTGTTACGCCATTAATGGACGAGAAAGCGGTGTCGTCCCTGTGGCAAGGGTCGTATCTCGGAGCCTGTTCTTACCTTGATCTGCGTGGACAGTCGACGTTGTTTCAGTCTGGTCACGGTGCTGATGTGTTCCTCCCCTGTCAACTTCCCCGGCGTCTGTGACGACAACGTCTGGTTGACTACGCCACTACGGCGACAAGGACCTTCGCTCTGGGTTGCCTGGAGTGAATGAGTGAGTGCGTGAGTATGGTTTTACGCCGCTTTTAGTAATATTCCAGCAATATCACGGCGGGGGACACCAGAAATGGTACCCATGTCGGGAATCGAACCTGGGTCTTTGGCGTGACGAGCGAACGCTTTAACCACTAGGCTACCCCACCGCCCCAGTTAGCCTTGAGACAAACACGGGAGTGATATAAGGCAGTAGACAATACCCTGCTTATAAACGACGCTTCATGGCGTGAGTGAGTTGGGTTTAACGCCGCTTTTAACAGTATTCCAGTTATATCACAGCGTGTCAGTTTAATGTGGGAGGAAAGCCAAATACAACTTCGGTGAAACCCACGAGCACGGGTATGGTGCTGACAAACCTAGAAACATAATCGGGGCGAACCGGGATTCGAACCCACAATCATAGGTGTTTGGCGTGTCCAAGGGACGCAACTCTGCACAGCGAATCGCGGCGCCTTAGACGACTGGGCCACCCGTGCCCCCTGCTTATAGGTATAATATGGACACACTACAGTGAAATGTGAATCTCGGAGGTAGTTATGCATACATCATTTGCCATAAAGGAAGTGAAAACTCCGGTGAAAGAAATATATCAACAGTTCTTTAAAGACAAGCGATAAAAAACATTTCCATATTCTCAAGAAATCTCCATTGTACTCTTCCGACCACATCATGAGTATGTGTTTGTTTCTATTTGTTTGTTTGTTGATAAACGCCGCACTCGGCAATATTACAGCTGTATGACGGCGGTCTATAAACAATCGGGTCTGGACCAGACAACCCAGTGATTGACATCATGAGCATCGAACCACGCAATTGGGATACGATGCCATGCATCAACCAAGTCAGCGAGCCTGACCACCCGATCCCGTTAGTCGCTTTTACGACAAGCTTGGGTTGCTGAAGACCTATTCTACCCTGGGTCTTCACGGTCGAATGTGTTCATGAATCACTATCACACAGTGATGTTACAACGCGAAAACACTGTGATCCTGTCCGTGGCTGTTGATGCGCATGATTACTTTCTATATAATAGTTATTGTTTCCATAGCAACAGGGTCATTGTCATTTACTCTGGATGACAATGTATGCAAATGAGAATAGAGAATAACCTACCACACAGATATAAAATATTCGAAAACAAGACCATGTGAACAGGTTAATCTATTCTCGACAGGGCTCCGTTCCAAAAAAAAGCGATCTTAGTGCTACGATTAAATGCATATCATAAAGTATGGGAGTTACGATCATCTTAGCGCTGAGATCGCTTTGTGGAAGGCCAGGGTTCATATTGAATTCAGTGTGCTGTGGAATGTTTGAAAGCTTTTTGAACTGCTAAGTGGAGGATCATTAATGCATACGGAATCTCCTACCATGCGTCTCGCTGCTTGTTTCTTCTCCAGCTCTTCCTTCTGACGCAGCACCTCGGCCAACAGCTTTTGTTTGACGCTGGTACGGGTATAGCTACCCTCATCCTGGCTCACTGAAACACAGGTACACACATTTACATAAAACGTAAAAACGACGCTTCATGACGTGAAGCGTCGTATTTGATTAAATACGTAAACTAGAATGTATGAGTGACCATTTTTTTCGACGCTTTTTGTTGATGTTGATGTTGTATATTCCGTAATGAGGCCACCGGCCCATTACGGAAGTATTTACTCACACACATATATATTTGACAGAGCGCCAAAATGTTTGCCTTTAATGTACAATAGTGGACAGTATTACTACTTAGGGTAATTAATGATAAAATATCTATTGCGTTTCTTAAGTGCTAAGTAAATATGTTTCCCAAGACTGTTAAGTAAAGGCGGATTCGAGCTTGAATTGCTGGTTTGGATGGACACAATAATACTTTGGTAAAATGCTGTCTTAAATGTCTTAAATCTGCATAGAATGGATTTGGAGGCAGAAATGGTATTCTGATTCTACTATTAATACTATGCAAAATGGACAGAATCTTATACTTCTGTTAATATTGTAGTAATATTCCTGCAATATCACGGGGGGTGGGGGTGGGGGGGTACAACAGTAATGGGCTTCACACATTGTACCCATGTGGAGAATCGAACCTGAACCTCTAGTGTGACGAGCTTTGACCACTAGGCTAACCCATCGCCTCTGAGTATCCTCATCAAAGATGATAGATAGATATATGTAAATGAAGTCACGTGCATCGTACTGAAATCAGAGGAGACGATGATCTAGAAACAAACCTTGGTTTTCTTGTTCTGTTTCTTCGCTACTTTCCTCTTCCGGTAGCTGCGCAGCTTCCTGCAGCGCATCTGACCATTGCTCCATCTCGTCACGTGATTCAAAAGACAGGACAATAGGAATGTAATTCTGCAACATCAAAATACACAGGTCATATGCACATAAAAAAACACCACAGACATTACACATATATTATATACACCGGAATCTGTTGAAACTGGACTCTGACTAATCTGGATTTCTATCATACCAAACCATATTTACAGTTCCGAATATACTTTGAAAAAAAAGTTTTTCTTTCAAACTTTTACATATATTTTCCATTTCCTCCCTGCCCTTGACCTTTCTCTAAACCGGATTTAGATCTCGGTCAAAAAGAAACCCCGTTTAGACAGATTCCACTTAAGTTAAAAGGCTAAACAAAGTCATTTGTGAAAGTAAATATCTGTAATAATAGCATGCTTCCCCAAACACAAATTATTGTTAATATACTACTTACAACATGAATTTATGTTTTCTACACCGTCCCTTACCTCGTGTGATAAATGTGTGACGAATCTCTTCCCTCGGAACTGGTCAATGAGTGACGTCACTTGGTAACCATGGAGATAGGTGATATCGACCGTTACCTGGTCTTCGGGGGTGAGATAGCAGTAAAGATAAGCACCTTTGACAATGTACCAGTACCTGCAACAGATCAAACACAATGCAGGTGAGCTGTAATCAACAGGTGGAAAAGACAATGGGTTGGTTGGTTGGTTGGTTGTTTAACGCCGCACTCAGCCATATCATACAGACGGCGGTCTGCAAATAATCGAGTCTGGACCAGACAATCCAGTGATTGATATCATGAGCATCGATTCACGCAGTTGGGATACGATGACATGCATCAACCAAGTCACCGGGCCTGACCACCTGAACCCATCAGTCACCTCTTACGACAAGCATAGTCGCCTTTTACGGCAAGCATGGGTTGGTGAAGACCTATTCTACCCTGGATCTTCACGGGTCCGCAACTTTGTGAATGCGGCCTGTAATTAATCGACAATCAGGTAACTGATATTGTTCTCAACTAAAACTAACACATGAAACATAATCTGGCCGATCATTCGTTTGTCGTGGTATGAAGCATGTTGACAGCAACGATTCAGTTTTCGCATCAGGAGAGATTTAAAACAATATTCATTAGGATATATAGCGACAAATTAAAACAATATTCATGAGGATATAGAGCGACCAATAAAAACTATTCATGAGGATATATAGCGGCCTAGATCCGGCTGTTTGTGTGTGGTGAGCTAAGGTTTTCCATGATGAACAGAAGACATAACATATGAGCCGTCACGAATGCGGCCCCATCAGGAAAACAATTCACTTAGAGACGGAACATACACCGTATTACTGGGTCAGCTGTCGAATTAGCATTTTACAGCGACATTAGCTCCCGTCGTAGTGTTTCTGGTGTTTTTATGACCTATATATGTCACCTGAAAACACTAATTATGTTTCAGATCAGTTCATGTGATCAGTTTCACATGGATGGCCCAGATGTCTAATGTTCGAAATTTGCCTCTTTAGAAGCATAATTTTATTTCAATCGAAATTTCTGGTTATTTCATTTTTTGTTTAATTTTTCGAAATTTCGAATTTTTTCTCGTTACTTCGATTCTTTCTCGTTATTTCAAGTTTATTTATAATTATGGAGCTTTTAAAATAGACTTGAAATAACCAACGAGAAGGTAATTGAAATTGAAAAAGATGATTTTCGAAATAAGCTTGAAATAACGAGAAAAAATCGAAATTACGAAAATATAATCGAAGTAACGACAATAAACTCGAAATTTCGATTACAAAAGTGGCACCATGAGATTTTCGTACTGATGGGCCATTTGTACATATCTGTATTTTGACCCGTGAAGATTCCGGGGTAGAATAGGTCTTCAGCAACCCATACTTGCCGTAAAAGGCGACTATGCTTGTGGTAAAAGGCGACTTACGGGATCGGGTGGTCAGGCTCGCTGACTTGGTTGACACTGGGCTCCCTTTTCTTATATCTTTTATTAAGATAACTGAACAACTGTTTTTTCTGTACGATATGTTCATTTCAGAAATGTTAGTCTACGTATATTGGTTCCAGGGGCGAAAATAACGAATAGGTGTAATCCCGGCTCAAGGTACCCCAATTCGGTGTGCATAGTTACGTCACTAGAATGCTATGGTCGTGGGTTCGAATCCCGGTTCGCCCTGGTTATGTTCCTCGGTGTGTCAGAGCCATGCCCGTGCTCGTGGGTTTCACCGAAGTGGTAAACGTCCGAGACCTGCATCACTACGGACTTTCCTCCAACATTAAGCTGACACGCCGTGATATAACTGGAATACTGGTCAACGCGGTGATAAGCTCTGCTCACACTGAAACTGTTATATTCTGGCGAAGCGCCTCCCAATGTCTTTTCGACCCGTGAGGATCCGAACTGAGCATGAAAGGTCGTAAGAGGCGACTAACGGGATCGGGTAGTCAGGCTCGCTGACTTGGTTGACGCTTATCATCGTATCCCAATTGCATGAAGGGATGCTCATGATATCCATCACTCGACTGACCAGACTCGATTATGTACAGACCGCCGTCACATAGATTGGGCCGCCTCCGTGGTCTAGTGGTAGAGCGTCCGACCGGAGAGCGGAAGGTCCGGGGTTCGATCCCCGGCCACGTCATACCAAAAGACGTTAAAAGATGGTACTTGTTGTTACCCTGTCTGGCGCTCGGCATAAGGGGCTAAAACAAGGACTGGTCGGCTCGGAGTCAGCATACTGTGTCTGAGTGGGGTATTCATGTTAAACTGCGGCATGGTATCTCAGTGTGCTAGCACTATAAATCGGCATCAGTCCGGACTAGTACAAGCAGCCACACACACACACGTACATGCACGTCGCTATATAAGTGCAATAATCTTGGACGCGACGTTAAACCCCATTTCACCTCACCTCACCTCACATCACCTTACCTCACCTCCCCTCACATAGACTGAATATAGCTTAGTGGGCAAGCATAAAAACAAACACAGAGTATGAAATGTTAGTGCTCAGTCTCATGTTAATTCGAAGAATAATGTTCTTCATCACATAATTATCGCATAATATTGCAATCAGACGAAAGCCATTTTCTCGATTCGGAACAGAATATACTTCATTCATCAACCAAAATATCAACGAAAACATAATATACAGATATAACGGGAACATAAATCCAATAACTCCGTGAGAACATTGAACACATTATATATACAAAAAATACACATCACAAACACATCACTGACACACATCACAAACACTTCACAGAAATATTACATCAAAATAAGTAAAAAGCATAAATAATCATTCTACTTACAAATGACTTGCGACCTGCTTTGAATGGTGACCGATAACGGTATTTCGTCTAGCCAAAGACTAACGGTAAAACCAGGTAAGCTGTCTTGCACGGCTTTCCTATCACGCACCTGTTCCGATCCCTAGACCACCACTATCTGTAGACTGTACTAAACCATGGACATGGCCTCACACAACACAGCCATGTCTTGTTTATAGGTTGTCGGCGCAGACCCAGAATGACATAAACTACCGACTGTTACACTAACCGAGTAAGCTGATGGCAATACAGCGTACATTATTAGCTATACTAACAGGTGTGTGTGAAAAATGAGTGTCAGTGTTGCGTGCAAAGTACCGAAGTACATTTGACGTGAAATTGATATTTTTATTTGTTTGGGTTTTGGGTTTCAACGTCTTCTTTCACAACAAGTCATCAACAGGTTTTGTTTGTTTGTTTGTTTGGTGCTTAACGTTGCATTCAGCAATATTCCAGTTATATGACGGCGGTCTGTAAAAAATCGAGTCTGGACCAACCAATCCAGAGATTGACATCATGAGCATCGATCTATGCAAATGGGATACGATGACATGCATCAACCAAGTCAGCGAGCCTGACCATCCGATCCCGTTAGTCGTCTCTTACGACAAGCATAGTCGCCTATTGCGGCAATCAAGCGTTGTTGTGGACCAATTCTACCCGGATCTTCACTGGTCTCACCAACAGGTGTGCGGTTATGAGTGAGTGAGTGAGTTGGGCCTTTCGCCCCTTTAAACAGTATTCATCAAGCGTCATCTTGACGTAGGAAGAAAGCCCAAAGTGATGCAGGTCTTAGACGTGGTGAAACCTTCAAGGACGGTTATTGTGCTGACAGGGTAGAAACATTACGAATCGAATGTTGGAATTGAACCCAGGCTTCTGACACGCCTAAGGGACGTACCTCTGCACAGCGACAGGGCTACGCGCGCCACTCGACACTTAGACAAACATTAAGTCCCGGAAAAATATTATCTTATTTAAAAAAAAACATATCTACAAACTAAACCGAAAAATCCAAATGCTTAATTGCTGGAGTTGAGGCAATGTGAACTTGAATTAAATTTGTTTTCTAATTTATTCTCAAGGGTCTGGGAGACAGACTACTCGAGTCTCTGAACCGTTAGGCACCAATTAACCGTTAGAAAGTGAATGTAGGAGAATGGGGATGCACTAATCAGCACTTTACATTGACTGGTGCCTCTTCACAGATGCCCGGGGGATAAGGGCCGGCTATTTATTGGTAAACAAGCTACTAAAAAGCTAAGAACAAAGTTCACGTTTTAATGAAGATGAATAAATCACATCACGTGGCATTTGTATGCCATGTTAAACAGGCCGATGTCATGCAATGGCTATTTATTTGGCCTTTTTATCTCATTTTCCAGTGTAACTACCGTGTTCTTATCTAGGTGAGTGTCAGTGATCTACTACAAGACATCATTATAGCTAGTTAGGAAGGACGTACTGAACGGAGGCACTTCCACAAAGTGATCTTAACGCTACAGCTGCCTTACACCTACACTTTAACATAGACGGAGCGCTCCGCTAGGATTGCATTAAGTCGCTGGGCCAGTTTCACAAAGCGATCACAGCGCCATGATGTCGCAGCTCCCATATTTTAACACTGGCTATCATCGTGCATATGACTTAACTCCCTGTGTTTGTTTGTTTGTTTGTTTGTTTTGTTTGTTTTTAACGTCGTATTCCATGCATATGACGGCGGCCTGTTATTAATCGAGTCTGGACCAGACAATCCAGTGATTGACATTATGAGCATCGATCCACGCCATCAACGAAGTCACCCAAGCCTGACCACCCGATCCTCTTTCGACAACATAGGTTGCTGGGGACCTCGTCTAACCAGAATGCCCCACCAGAGTGAGTGAGTATGGTTTTACGCTGCTTTTAGCAATATTCCAGCAATATCACGACCGGGGACACCAGAAATGGGCTTCACACATTGTACCCATGTCGGGAATCAAACCCGGGTCTTCGGCGTGACGAGCGAACGCTTTAACCACTAGGCTACCCGACCACCCCTCCCCACCAGAACTAAATGTCGATAGATAGCGGAAACAGTGACGAGTGTGGCCGAGCAGGGTTTAATGCAGCGGGTTGCTGACCTATTCTACCCCGCATCTTCACGGGTCGAACATATTATTTAGTAGAGTTAATAGATTAAAGAATTTTGACCAATGAACGCTTGGAACACCAGGTCCATCTGCGTCAGCACATCAATTCAATCATAAACAGACACATGCGCTGATCAGTATTAATACCATCC